TATTCCCAATGTTTTATTTTTCTTCTGCATTGTAATCTAATCTGCACCATACGTAGATGCTGTTGCGTTCAAACTGCAGACAAGTCGTAAAGCCTGCTGAGATGTAATGATCTCAGCATCATAAATCATCATCGGAGTGCTTGTGTCACAGCACGCTTGCTCTCAAAGTGACGTGTTTAAGAGTGTCTGTTTATTTTGTCTCTATAAATATGTGGGAGAAGCAGACAACGGTAGACGGAGCAAGACAGAGTGTGTGTGTGTGTGTGTATGTGTGTGTGTGTGTGTCAGTCTTAATTGCCTACCACATCATCCCACAGTTAGGGTTGAGGAGATTCTCCATCTTGCTTCAATTAACTGTTCAGCGGTGTTTATATTGGGTTCCACCAACATAGCTTACCTTTCCCAACACAGACCAACAGCTGTGTTTCCCTGTCTGACCCTAAAACCCCACTCTACCCTGTTAAACCCACCTCAGCCATTCAGATCTTTACCCTTTGGATCGGTACTCTGCAGAAAAATACTTAATCAGCACCTCATTATTACAGCCACACCCCAGCCCAGAATAGAAGCAAACTGGCTCCATAACAAGGCTCGGTCAGGGTCCAGAAATGTTACACCTACAAGTGTTTCTCACTTTGTAGTTCTTGGCAATACTGTCTGTAGGTCATGGAGAGGTTAGCATGTATGGGAAGATAAGGGCCATGGACACTGGATAGGGTGGCTCAGTAAATCACAGTTGCCTGTTATTGTTCCTTCCTGCCTTGCTTCCCTTCTTCCCTCCTTTTTATTTATGTTTTTTTTTTTGTGGTTCAGCTTCATCCATGCCATGCAGGAGGAATCATTCATAGACTCATGCAGTGTAAGTTTTCAGGATCCTGCTTCTAGTCTCCTCTGTCCCCCTTCTTTCACTCTCCCTGGCACTGTTAAACAACAGGACTCTTATCACAGCAAATTGAGGAAGCTACCAATAAACAGAGATGTGAATTTGACCGGAGAAAAAGAATGAGGGGACGGCTGTATGTATTAATGCCAAAGAAAGAGTCATCTGGAGATGTTTAAGTTGGACAGGCCAGTTTCCGGTGTCTGGAGCAGGCCAAAAATATCCAGAAACAGAAAAATCCGGCAGAAGGGAAAAGGATACACCTCCTCGTTTCTCATGTGACCCTCTACATTTAGCAAACTAAGCTGAATTTTGGGGTTGCAGCATACACCGTGGTTGCAAGAAAGCTTTTCAAGCCAAGCTTATAAAATGTAATTGCATCTTGATATTGCTAAATGTTTGGGAAGAGAGCATTTCAATGAATCACATATGGCACAACTGCATTTCACTCAAATAAACAGAATGACACCGAGTACACAAGGTGTGCCACATATGCATACCTGCTTTGCATGGGTGCTCACACTGTTTTCATAACACGGGGACTGCTTCTTGTTGTAAAAGGCAGAATAGCTGAATCATTCAAACTTTTTATAAGCACCCTCCACTGCACGTCTTAGTATCTATTTATGGATCCACAAACCAGACTGATTTTGTTATGTTAACAGCTTGCGGTTTTAACGGCTGCTGTTCCAGCCGTGCAAGGTGAACACAAGTGCCCAATTTAGGTCATACAAAAAAAAAAAGAGAGAGTCAGTGCAACGGCTGCAGTGGACTGAAGGGCCAGGATTCATTCAAGCAAGCCAAACCTGTGAGCAAGATTTGTGTTTGAAAGCGCAGACAGGAAGCTACAAGCTGTAGGGAGAGGCAGAGAGAGGGAGCGCAAACCAAGGGTCTAGACAGAAACCTCTGCTTGTTTGCTTTTTAGCAGGGTATAACCAGCATTTGAAGTTTTGTGCAGCTCTGTCACAATACACTTGTTACATGCTGATTTAAAGGTGATCACTCATATTAGATAGTCTCAACTCCTCCTGCCCCTGCACAGCGGATTTCTTAAAGTAGGCAGACTTTACGTTGTTATGTATCAGTACCGTTCTGCAGACACAGATGTTTGGGTGCAGACACACACACACACACTCACACATCAGGAAAGAGAGAGAGGTCTGCAGTTTCTCATGGCTGCGAGCTGCCGCTGCAGAAAATTCCCCCTCATCTCCTCCTCTCCCCGCCCCCACATCTTGCCTCCATTATTCCCGTGTTACTCCGGTGACAGCGAGAAGCAAAGCTGGCGAAGTGAAGGCAGACTGGAGCACAGTCAGCCGCTTCTTCCGGCTGTCCCCCTCGGTTGCCGACCGATGGTACGGTCTCCCGCGTTCCGCACGTTCACACGCCGTTTGTGCACGGTGCCGGTAGGGAAAGGTGTGGGGAGGGGGTGGGCGGGGGTTGGTCGACCGGGACTAGCACCGTGGAGCTGAGTGCTTTCCACAAGGAGGGATGAGAGAGAAGCCTCGCTTGAAAAACGCTCCACGGTCGCCGTTAATTAGCGCCTATTTATTTTTTTTGCTTGAACGGCGAAGACGTGAGAAGACGGGATTATACGGCCAGCTCGCAACTAACGTTAACTAATGGTCACAAACATGGATGCTGATGTGCCTCATCCTCTAGGCCGGACAGAAAAGCGGGTGTTTTTTGAGGATTTTCTGGCTGCAACACGACTCATTTCTTTCTGGGATTAAATTTTTTTATTATTATTTTTGTTTTTTCTCTCCTTCTTGGAGCCGGCTTCTGTGAGTGGCAGTGAGCATTTATTTGCAAGGTACTAACTAATGATAACCTTACTGCGGTCGCTTATACTGACCAAGCATCACTGTCAACTCTGTGTGTGTGTGTGTGTGTGTGTGTGTGTAATTGTGCTGTCAGCCCCAGCGAAGAAATAATGAAACACTGTGAACATGGCTGCTTCAGACAGCACTGTAGTGGTATATGTCTCACTTTCATCTCTGGTCTTTAAATATCAGCGTTTCTTGGTGGTGAGTCAGGCTTGAGAATGCATGTTAACCAATTGAGACCTGACCACTAATGGGGTCAGAAATGTTGCTTTGTTGAATGCATCATGAATCACACAACAGGATAAGGTGATGCAGCCAGCAGCACATGTGCCTTTGGCCACTGTTTCTCTCAGAAGAGCTGCATTGTAAAGAAGAAACATTTTGTAACAATGTATATTATTTAGCTCATGGTGCATCTAGATTGTGTTATATTGAAAATTCCTCATTTTCTACTTTTGTCAGCCTTCTTTACTGATAACAACCTTGTAATAGCGACTTATTACATTTATTTTCATGCAGTTTTGTGGCCAAAACCCATCTGTTTGTGCCAGATTGGGCTGCTTAGTTTTTGTTCCTCAGGGCAGTGATTTGTTACCTTGACATTAAGACTTGCACTATTCCCATGTGCCTCAAGCTGAGTCCCAGTGACAGCGTGCATGCCACATTACAGTTTGAAGTGTTCTGCAGACAGGATACTTTAAATGTTTGATTATTATACTCTAGTTTTCTGCTGAGTAATTGAGCAAAAATATGTGGATTAATGCGATGTTATGCCTTTACAGCAACCTTAGTTGCGCTTGACGTCTCTGAGTTGTTGTACAGCTCACATCTGGTTGCATCTGCACCACTAAACCTACCACTAAGCAGCTATGGTAGTAATTAAAATCACTGTGTACAGTACAAACACATAGTGTTTTCAGAGATATAATGTAACTCCAGGACAGGAGGATGGGGGATAAAAACAAAGGGCAAGGATGGAAAATGTAAGGGTTTGTGTGTCACTTGACTGTGTGCACAGGTGCACCCAATCTAAACCCTCAAACCACAGGGGATCAGTGGCGAGGGGGAGGGTAAGCTGAACCCTGCAAAGACACTAGAAGCCACACACGCCCACCAGTAATGATTTGGGGAAGTTCACACTGGGATGAGTGCTGCGGTACTTCTTTCCCTCACTTTTTCTGGTATCATCGTCTCTTTGCTAAAGTCTCACCCCGATGCAAGCTGGCACAAATGGTGAGAAAGTAGGCTAACTTTGTTAAGGAGACACCCTTACCAAATTACAATAGCCTCAGGAGGCCAATATGATCCTCTTGATAGAGTTACAAACCAGTTATACTTGTGTTCAGATTAATAGCATCTGTTTTTTGAGAGGAGTTTTGGACAATGGTGATGTTTCCCCCGTCTCTTTATCCCCCCCCCCCAAATACACACACCATCCTCCAACCTCTCTAGTCCCCATCTCCCTGATTTGAGGGAAGCGTGGGTGGAGCCAAAGGGTGTTTGTGTTCCTCAGGGTCCCTGCTTCCTGTGAAATCGTGGAGGATCTCCACATGTGCTGAAAAACATACGTACACCCAAAAATGCAGAACCCTTGAGACCCAGCCTCTTTACATGGCTTTAAATGTCCGGCAGTGTTTATGCAGTGAATGTTAATGGCCTGGTCCTGGATTTGTTTGTATTTGAGTAGCAAATGTTAGGGCAGGTTTGCAGAGACGGCTTGGCTTTGTCTGCTGTGTAAAATATTTGGTCTAACACGTGTTTTCCCACAGTTGACTGTTTCATCATTGCACCTGCTTCACTGTTTACGCCTGACCTTGGCAGACGGATATTATTCATTCTTTTGGAGCTCTATTCAGCAAACCTGGTATCAGCAAAACAGACAAACACTCCAGTGAACACTGTCAGCAGGCAGCTTCCCTCACTTTGGTCACTAGTCCTCTGATGGATAGTGGATTTCCTGCTCAAGGAGGAATGTTAAAAATGTCCGTGAGGAACAGAGCAAGGCCCATTGTGTGTATTTAGATCAGCTAACCTTGTTATGGCTCGAGCTAACACACATGCAAACTCCAAGCCTGTCATGCAGGGTATTGCTCACATACTGTACTTATTGATGAGAGGCACAATGATGTTTTTCAATTTGAGCAAAATATATGAGTCATTTGGAAATGTACCAAATTTTTGTTGTATGAGTTGTAACAATGTAGTTCTGTAGAATAGTGGGATACAGGTGTATGTTTGGATGAGCTGTTATAAACAAGTATATTAAGAAACATGCATTTTTTTCTATTTCTCAGATGACAGAGGGCCGGCGATGTCAGGTCCATCTGCTGGACGACAGGAAGCTGGAGCTCCTCGTTCAGGTGAGTGTGTCTTCCTCCTGACCTCTAGCTCTTTCTTTCCTTTCTCCCCTCTCACTTTACAGACTATCAGTTCCTTACAGCTAGGGAGAAGTGATGTCTGCAGTCCCAAGTGACTTCCATTATTGCTGACGAAGGGAAATTTGGTCAGGAGTAGGTGATGCTGCGCTTTCTTGATGCTTTCCCTGATCTCTCTCATACACATGCATAAAAGCACACATAGGTTGCGCTCGCAGCACTGATTTGCAGTGCCTGTTTAAACTCTGAATCCTGACATACAGTTCCACTCGATCGAGTCCTGAATGGAAACCTTTGCTTCAATTACCCTGGCTCTGCTTTTAGCCTTTAGTTCTCCCAGCAAGCCTCTCTGTAGTAATGAATAAAAACAGCACCATCCTAAAAAAAACTGCCTCTCTTTCATTTACGTTTTTACCATTACCTTTTTCAGCTTTCAGCTGCAACTCTCCTCTGGTCTGCTTTCTTTTCTATACCAAAGGTCTTCATTGATTGCTAATGATATTGACTTTTGCCATTCTTTTTATTTTCTTTTGGCTTGGCTAGATACACTGAAATGGATTCATTAGGAGCTCCTTACACTCTTCCTAACCTCCCATAGTTCCCTTTGGTCTGACCATTACTCGATTCCTCTGAAACAGAGAAAGACAAAAGAAAGTAATTGCCCTGGAACAGGAGAAGAACAGCAGGCAGAGAATAGAACGATTGACGCAGAAGCTCGGGAGGTTGAGAGGGAGAGAGAAAAATGAGATGAGGGCTAAGGAATGAAAAGGAGATGACACTAAAGGGAGAGAGAGGAGAAAATGGAGAGGAGAGCCAAGGATAGGTCTGCTGACTTTCTGATTTGATTACTCTGCCAGAACTGATCCTCCCTTTCAAATTGGTACTTCTTTTTCTGCTCCTCTTCCTTAGTCACTCTGTCTGTCTCTCCACTCTTGGCTCCTCATGTCTTCTTTTCTCATTCAACAGCTGGCTAGCTTTTTACCTGTCTTTCCATTGCTTTATCTCAATTTACAAATACAAATGTTTCAGCTCTATCTTGCATCCATCCACCCTCTCTATTGCTCTTCTCGTTTCTTTCAGTACATAAAACTAAAATAAAAAGACAACTTGGGGCTTTAACATAAATATTTCTTAATGTAGTGCTTATGTGAAGAGTTTTGTTGGTATATTCGGATAAGGAGTGAGTGATAAAAATTGGCTGTGTTAACCGCGTTTGTGAGAAGAAACAAGACTGGCAAAAAGGTCAGAAAAGTGGATGTCATTAACAAACTTTTGTTACATAAATCAGGAAACTGCTGGCTTTCTTTCTCTCTCAGTCCCTGTCCTTGCCTCCATCCGTTAGGCGGATGTTCTGCAGGTCATTGAGTTGTTAGTGGGACCACAGAGAATCACAGTGTTATTCTTAAGTTTTCCACTGAACTAAAAAGCAGTCCAGTCCTCCGCTTGTTTGCAAAAAAGAAAAAAAAAGATTTGGATGTTCACATTTCAAAAACAGTCTAAACCAGTGTGTTTATTTATAATTTGTGTTTATTTATAAGTCTCCCCCGATCGTAAAACAGCGCCATTGTCAGGTCTGTCCCATTGAGGTTTTCATGAAACTTGTTGTAAGCATGCCAGGTACACAAGCCAGTTACCATCTGAAGAAAGGCTCCTACTCCTGTCAGTGAGTTGTAACATTGACCAGCTGTTTAATCCCAGAAGAGTCATTTAGCCTTGTCTACTTCCTCCAGTCTGATAGCGTGCCCTCTGTGGTTTGCTTGTGGAGCAATGCCTCATTGGCAGGGAGCAATGTACCAGAGGGACAGCACGCTTATTAACCAGGTTGTAAAGATGTAAAGCTAACTACCAAACACACCTCTCGGTGAAATTGTATATCAGTACAGAAGCTATTACTTACGTAGGCTAGACTGTTGCGAGGCTAAAGGGTAAATAAGGTTCAGTTGTGTAACAGTGTTGCTTTTCTACATCACTGAGTCCTTTTACATAATATGAAGGGGAAGTTCAGTAAACTTTAAGTCCGTATGCAAAGCAAAAAATATAAGAAGAGGTTATTGTGCAGGGAAAAATCACAATAATGCAGCATGTGTCTCCAAAAAGCCTTAACCTTAGACAGCCTTAGAGGGGATAGGCTGCAACTAATAAATCAGTTGGCAACTCATAAATCTGAGCAACTCTGAAGGCAGCAAAGACCTTACTGGGTGTTTGCAGAGATCGGGCCATGACTTGTTTCCAGCCAGCCAAGTGTGCAACCGTTTTTTTGTCACTTGTCTTTAGTGTGTCTGCTACTCGCTTACACCTCCCTGTAATTCTTATGCTGTTAATTACCTGTGCTGCTGAGGAGGCACACGCTAAATATCTATTAGCAGTAATGCTGTCTAAGCTTTCAGAGAACTGTACAGTCTGATAGATGGCTCCATAGTATGTAATGTGTGTCTGCATGGTCTGTATATGTCTAGGGTGTGTTTAGTGTACCGCATCACTTACAATACTGCCTGTCTTTCTCTGTCTACATCACATTATTACACATCTGGTATCTGTAATCCCAGAAATAAGCTGCCACGCATGCTTGTGGAAATGGTGGGTTAGAGAAATGCTTCCTGTGTTGTTCTTAATCTTCAGTAATACACTCCTGATTTTTAACAGCGTATCTGGGGTTTATTTTAGCGCCTCATCATCTGCCCAACAACGTGCCAATATGTCCCTGTTACCCGCTCACTGCTTGCTACACCGTGGTGGGATGGATGTTGTTTAATTGATATTGTTGCCACAGCAGTTTGGCTGCTCTGTGGTAATGAAAGACCATCGCAGCATGTTCCCCAGACTGAACCAAAACAGGTATTACTGCTAATGCCATAAAGATACCCTCTCTTCAAAACCTAAAATTTCCACATATAAAATGTGTTGAGGGCTTCAAAGACTTCTAGTGTAGATCATCTAAGTTTCTGCTCTCCCATTTGGAAGAAATGACAGGGCCAATCAGACCTGTTTTGGATGGGAGTACCAATTTCAGTTGAGTCACACAGATCAGGACCAAAACAAAGAGAAAATCATCACTCTAACCTCTGCTTCTCTGCTTGTGCAATGTAAACATACAGCCGCAGAACAAAAAAAATATTCAGAGACATTCCCGATCTTATCTTTGCTAAATTTGCAATTGTTCTCTCTGTAAATATGTATTTGGAAATTTTACTCTTAACGAGACATTTAAATAGAAATGTTTACATCTGTGAATATAGGGTTGAATCAACTTATGCGGTAACTTCACCTTCAGCTCTCTCTTTCAATTCTGATCTCTCCTGAGCCTTTATGTGTAGCAGGATCACTGTAGGCATCGTGATTATATGGGATCTAGGTCAGTGAAGATGTGGTAGTGTGTGTGTGTGTGTGTGTCTGCATGACATCACCTCCTTCCCTTTAAATAGCTCTCAGTAGCTTATGACACTGAAGTTGTAGCTATGCAGTGAGTAGATACTATAGGACATTAGGAAGAGGCTCTTAAGAGTGTGGATACTATGGCACTACAATGTCGCTGTTGTGTGTGTGGGCACGTGTAGAAAAATGGTTTCAGACAATATGTATTCCTCATGCCCTCCTCTCCTAGACAGTACAAACTCATGTGCTCCTTCTGTATGCTGGGAGTGGCCTGTATAACACAGTCTTGTTGCTGCATGCAGATGAGTGTGTATGCATGTGTGTTTGTGCGCGTAAATGTAGGCAGCGAGGCACACCCATGGTTAACCTCAGTTACTGGTGCACTTTTATTCAGGATGTGACAAACCAGCAGCATATGGCAGCATTCCCTGGACTCTTGCTTTGCTTTAAGGTGATCTGCATGCTATATAGCTCTTGTGCTAGCATCTCTCTGCAATACAGTGGTTCAGCCCATAGCCGTGACTCTGCAGTGGAGGTGTGGGTCAGGAAGGAGAGGGGAGGGGAAGGGTACCTGCACTGTCAGCAACATCCACGCACTCCATCCATCTTTTTCTTGCTCTCTCACTCTCATTTATCTCCTCCACTCTGGCCCTTTCCCTCTCCTCCCTGGTGTTTGTCAAAATGCTTAGTCATTGCGGTAACTCAACAGCCGATATAATACATTAGCATAAAGTTTTACTACATCTACTTTTCCAATTAAACTACAGTGTGGCAAACCACTTCACACACACACATGACAGTTGATTAAAACAACCTTAGCCTAATCCAAACTCGTATATCTTCCTTCCTGCAGCCCAAGCTGATGGCTAAAGACCTGCTGGACCTTGTGGCCTCTCACTTCAACCTAAAGGAGAAGGAGTACTTTGGAATTGCATACACTGATGAAACGTAAGTTAAAATAAAATATTATGTCACTCAGTCTTTAATTTAACTTAATTGTTTGGATTTTTTCAGTGCTGTAACATGAGATCACTGTAAATGACACCAGCATCAGATCTGATACACAGTTGGTAGCAGTAAAGTTATTAAAGCAACATGTGGGTCAGCAGTAGTGTAATCATAGGCAAATTTAGTATCAAAGTTCAGGTGCTGTTTGTTGTGCACATAGGCAAAGCAACAAGGATATCAGAGGGGAGTGCACGTGAACATGGCTTCTGATTTCATGGTTGGCTGAAGCCAGTGTCATGGACACTGATGTCGTGGACAGTGTGTTTGTAGATGCCAATGACAAAGATAGAAAGCCTTAAATAAATGCTATAGAGTTAGTGTCAAGGATAATGAGTAGTAGCAGGTATGGTTTCTAATTACATTTGATTGCGTTCAGTTTTGAGGTATAATTTAAAATCTTTTTCCACATGGCTACTGTTCCACAACAACCGTTTATATTTTACTCTGTGTGCCCACTAATTGGACTTTGTAGCACTAGTGAACAAAACTGATAATGGTGGACTAAATGTAAAATATATACTCATAGATTAACTTAAGTTGTAGCACAGTGTACAAAAGCACCACTTTAATAATGTGGCATTTGGTTTTGAATTGGTTTTCTCTTGAGGAATTCCCAGAGCACTTTTCCTGTTAAGGCTTAATTAACTATGAAATTGAAAAGAAAAATCAAATTTAGCTTACATGTCTAATTTGTCTTTTTCTTGTTGTTCAGTGATTTAAAAAACAAAAAAAAAACAGATTTGTTTTGTCAGCAACTGTCTTTATCATTGTCGGTAAAGCAAAGAATGAAGATCTGTGAAGATCACATTTAACCGTGAAGTGAAGTGATGTGGGTGGTTATCTTTCTCTGGACTAGCAAAGATCACAAGTCTGTGTTTGCCAGTAGGCTTGCCATGAGAGCTGTGCTTGAAATGCAAACATGACATTCAAATTAGCTTTGTTGGGTTTTCTGACCTAGAAAGGCAGAAACGCCACGGCATGATAGTGATGCCAGCGATTTACATGCAGGCAAACATCGCCATGGCCGTTTTGCCTTTCTGTTTTTGTTTTATCTCGTGCATCCACTGATGTCAAGCAAGACTGGCCTCTGCTCTTTGGTATTTACATGGTAGCGACTACTGCCAGTGTCTGTCCAGCGAAGCATTGTCCACTATAGAGTCTTAATTCTGTGATGTGTAGATTTGTTGCTTTTGCCTGGGGAGAGGAGACGCCTGAGCTCTGACCGCTCACTGGTCAAAGAGGCTGCGTGTTGGGGACAGGAGGCCAAGAGATTGAGAGACAAGAAACAGAAGAAGGGAGAGTTTGAGAGAGATGTTGCTCAGTTGCTCAGGAGACCATGCAGGGTAACCAGGGTGACAAGCTGTCTGTGCGGTTTTTCTCTCTGTTGGAAACAAAGAGAGAGAAACGAGAGGGGAGGGAAGAGAAGAGGAGGGGGACAGAGGCAAGCAAAGTGTGACAAAAAAGATAAATGGGATGGCTTAAGTAGAAAGTGTTCTGTTTCATGAGATGAACCTTTGTGTACCCTAGTTTGATATTAAGACATCTCTGAATTATAGTGTTGATTGTATGGTTGTTCTTCCCCATCAGGGGCCATTTTAGTTGGCTGCAGCTGGACCGCAGGGTATTAGAACATGAATTCCCCAAGAAGTCTGGTCCCATTGTCCTCTACTTCTGTGTCAGGTGAGTCTTTCTTCTGCAAGTTAGTGCCCTCACACCAATCATTGTCTGATTGCAGATGTATGTGGGAACGAAAGAAAGAAGTCTGTACGTTCTTGAGTATACTCACACATTCATGCCATAATAGGAAGAGATTAATACGATTAGTTATGAAAAGCCCCTGTGAAATTGTTCTGATCACAGTGTTTACTTCCCACCACAGGGCCTCTCAGCCAATGGCAAGCCTCTCATACTTCATCAGAATGCACTGCATGCAGATAGCATCGGATTCATGGCGACTGTACTCGAAACAAACAAACAAACAAAATACCAGAAACCTTTTTCCTATAAGGGTAGGGTTTGGGGAGGTGGAGAAATCAGCACTGTGCATCTTTATGTTGAAGCTGTTTGACAAAAAACACTCGCAAACTCATTTATAAAAGGTCCTTTTTCAGTGGAACACTGAACAGCACAGTCATTATCCTTGTTTTGTATAAGCCCACCATGACGTTCTTGCTGTTGCTTAACTGTAGTCATCTCTTTGGTAAAAACAAAATGCTTCTTTTGACCAACTGTGACAGGATTATAAAACTGCACCACAGTTCACTCGTTTTCTTTCCACCGACCCTCCTGTAGGACAGAAGAATTGCAATACACACACAGGCATGACCAAAATTCAGCATATAGCTGTTTATGATTGCATTTAGTGGTGTTATATATTTTATAGGCTTGTAAAAAAAAAAAAGCAATCCACGTGACATGAAAAAACACACATTCCTATGCACATACAGGTTCCTCTGAAATAAAATTGGAAAAATACGAAGGCTTTATTTTGAATTGTCCTGTTTTTTTCTTTGCACTGCTCAGGTTTGTGCACGAGCTGCGTCAGAGTTACATCGATATAAATGCTAGGACCGTATAATTCTCCAGCACAACATTGCTATAAAACGTTTAATAGTGTAAAGCGAAGTGATGCGCATGGACAAAATGTCAGTGAGTCATTTTCATGGTGGCATTTATATCGTGGCTCAAGTCATGAGACACGATATAAATGAGCTGTTTAGAAAAAGCATATTCTTAGCGCGCTGGCTGTATCCTGCTTAGTGGCGTCATCGCACAATGCCACAGCAATACAGTCAGAACATCTTAATTGTGTTTATACCTGCGTTAACTAACGGTCCTGTTGTTCCCAGGAGCCTGCATATACAAGCTGTAGTGGTAGTGTTGGTGGTTAGCTGTGTGGGGTGCAGGGTCACTGTGTGTGTATTTACACAGACTAATGGGTGTTTGAGGATGTGATGGTAGTGCGATGACACTGTGAACTCTGACACCTCATTGAGGCTTCATCCCCCTTCTTCATCATCACAGTTCCGTCTAATCTCTAACCTTAATCTCTCTAAATGTCACAGTACTGAATACACCCGCTCTCAACACATCCTTACACGTGCACACATTCAGATCCAGACTGTGGACTGCAGTGGAACAACAATCAGCCCAAATGCCAGGCCTGAATCTGTTATCAATCTGAGCATATTGTTTTTAATAAGCACAATATAAGGTTTGTTTATGCGCGGGGGTGTGTTTGTCTAATATGAAGTATGATGTGTGTTTATGTGTGGGTGCGTGTTTCTCTCTGTATGTCACGTTTCTGCATTCTCATGAGGTATTTGTGTGATGCGTGCGTTCCCAATAAGTGCTAGGCAGATGCCCACCTCCTGCTGATTCAGTGGGTGCTTTTTTTGCATGCTTGCTGCTGTGCTGGCAGTGTGGGCATGTCTCATCAACCGTGCTGCTTTAATTAAATGTTCACACTGAATATTGACAAGCACCTCTCATTCTCTCTTGCAGCTCAATGGGTAACGCGAATTAAGCCCCCCCCACACCCCCGATTATTGATCTGCCTGCAATCCCTCTCACTCGATGCCTATATAGACCCATATGCACTGAAATCAACACGCGCATTTCCGATTTATATTCATAAGGACATGTTTGCTGATCGCATTGTTCACAGAGCTATATCAAGTCAAGTGAACTCTTTTATGCACACCAGATGGGGGTTTTAAGCTATTTATCCGCTAATCGCACCAATTCCCTGTTTGACTCCCAGCTCATTCACATCTGTGTATGACAAGCTTTACCACCAGTGATGTACCAGTGGGTGAATGAAGTGGTTTGGTTTGTAAAACTTAGCTTAGGTTTAAAGACACGATTAACAGCAAACGATTTACCATCTCTGAAGAAGATGTCAGGTGACACTTTAGAGCAGCTGAGCTATATGGAATCTTTTTGATGTGTGTTTTCACCAGAGAGGAGATAACAACGAGTAGCTTCCTGGTGCACCATTCCAGCTTCCCTCTGGCTTTGCATGCATTCATGAGCTAAATTTAAACTGCATTATTGTGTTAGTTCCCTGCTCACCGCTCTGCCAGAAGTGGGTTACTGTGTTTCTCTCTCCAGAAAGTGACAGCATCTCTGTGTGTGGTAGTACTCTGTGTTTGTGTGCGAGCGCGTGTGATCACTGCACACTGCTGATGATGCACAGCGAAGTGCATCATGTGCACATTCAATCTGCGTGTGTGTGCGTGCATATTCACATTGAGGAATGTGCACACACTCGCAAACTGATAATGAATCACTGCCAGCCACTGTGGCGATGTGGTGTAAGGGGAAGGGAAAGGATTTTGGCATAAGTGATCAGCCTTTGGTATGGTGCGCCCCCATCTGGTCACTTTCACCACTGCAACCTTTCAGTCACATCTGCACAGTTTCGTTTTCATAGCTTTCCTGCATGCTAGCTTCTGTTTTTGAAGCAAACACAAAAAAACACTCCTTCATGTATCTTCTTTCTGTTTCCTGAAGGTCAATGAACACCCTTGCTTACTTTGAAGCTGCAGGAGTGTTTATATTTTCTTCTGTGTTTTCAGGTTCTACATAGAGAGTATATCCTACCTGAAGGATAACGCCACCATTGAACTGTTCTTTCTTAATGCAAAGTCCATCATATACAAGGTAAATAGCTAGTTTTTTTTTATGCATTTCAAGTACTGCTGGTTTCATCTCCTTCTCCTTTGGTTTATCTTTACATGCTATATGAATGATATGAATCCTCTGTGAAATTGCATTTAAAGCCAAGTTTTTTCTTCTGGCCTTAAATCATTTTTGGCTTTCAGTGGTTACATTTTATGGTGAAATTGCATAGAGTGCTGGGCTTCATGTTGCGTGCCACTTCCTTAGCCCATTTTTCTTTCTAAATGAAGAGATGCCACAAGAGGAAAGCTTGGACCTCGGTCCTGCGTGCTGATTTGCTGAAGCAGAAAATGTGAACCATGTGCATCATCTGTTACCCGTCATGTCATGCGCTGCTCCACATTTCAGCAACTAGCAAATGATTTTCATTGCCATCTGTCAGCGCTACGCCACAATTACTTTGGCTGTTTAAATAGCAATTTAAATTATGCATTGGAATACATACTTCCAGAAAGTCGCTTAAAGAGACAATTTAAAGGAGGAAAGATTTTGGAATTATTTTACCACTCAGTTAATATGGTACATTTTTTTAGAGTAAGGAGAGGCTATCCACTTCACTTAACTGGTTAAAATTCAAGCAGGGGCATCTAGTTATAGTTTGGTCAGCATACAGCACATTTATAGACACCAGTATCTAACAGTTATGTAATTTTTCCAGGAGAGGGCGTGTGCAGCCTGAAACTGTAAATAACTGAGCTGAAATGTTCTAATAAAGCCTTGTAGAAAACTGTGAGAGTGTCTAAAGACTTATTTTCTTTGTGCTAAAATGTCTTGTATGTAGCAAGACATTCAAATATCGGCAGTTGCAATATTTCAGGATGGTTAAAAAGGCTGGCAAAGTCCCACAAAGGGAAGGATTCATGCTCAGTCCAGCTAGTAAACATGTTAAAGCGTCTTCATCAAGATACCAATTTTTATCTGCTCATTTATTACAACTCATATTAGCTAAATACCAGTGTAGGAAAGCAAAAAAGAAAGAGAAACAGCACAGCGTAGCAGATAGAAAGATATAAATGTGCTTCCTGCAGTCACTATTCTTGTAGTTTCTGCTGTGCTGTGAAAAAACAGTACAAACACACACAGTGTGTGCTGATTTGCAGCCTCACTGGGTGGTACACCCACGTTAGGTTTGTTCTGTCTAGTGTTTCATCCTGGCTGTTTGATCCTCCATCAAATTAAGAGGTGAATTGTAAAGGGCACATTCCTGGGATAGGTGACCCACTACTCACTGCCCACTAATCCTCTCTGTTAATGTACACATATCATGTCATATATATGTTTACTCCCAAAGTAAGTATTTGGCAAATTTTTCACAGGAACGCACCACATGTCACTAAATCACAAATGTTTGTACCAGTGTTTGCATGTCTGTCTCTGTCTGTTCTCCCTGCTTGTTGCTTATCTCTTCATCTACGTGTTATATAACAGTAGTAAACATGCATGCATCCATGGTTAAATTCTGAGTTGGTATAGCAATATGTAATGCTAATACCCATGACCACTGACATTGGTAAATGCCATCTTAGGACAATATCAGTCAACGGGGTTTGATATTGGCAGATACCTGTAGATCAGTGCGTCCCTAGTAATGCATTTAAAACACACACTGGTAAATGTTCTCAGTAATCAAAAACCAGAGCATCCATGCTCACCCTCAACCCCTCAACCCCCTCTCCCAAACCCCTCCACTTTGTCTCTAATCTTTGATCTCTTTCTGCATGAAGACATCATGAAAAAAAGAAGGGTTATTGGCATCTAAGTGAAAGGAAATATCATCTTATCTCGACTGATGAAATGAGTGATCATTTCAGGAATGTCCACTTTTTACCCCCACAGGGATCAAAGTGTGTTTTATTTATTTGTGAATGTCTCCAATGGCCTTTGCTCACTCCTTTTCTCCCCTTTTTGCAGGAGCTAATTGAAGTAGACAGTGAGGTTGTCTTCGAATTGGCTTCCTACATTCTCCAAGTAAGCTTGTGTGTGTGTGTGTGTGTGTTGTATATTTGTTTGTGTGTCGGTGTGTGTACCACAAGTTATTCCAGGGGCTGTTCTTTTCTGAAACCGTTTGAAGTTTTCCTCCAAACTATCTCCACAAGCCTTTGATCCTAATTGACGATGATTAAACTCACATTATCTACTGCAGTAATAATTGTGAGCGATTAAACTCTCATTATCTAATGTAGCTATCAATTTGACGTTAATCTGCAGTAACGCTGGGAGGTTTCAAATCCTAAAAACCTCAGTTGACTTTGGTAACACAAATTTTGGTCTACCAGATAAATGGTGGACAGGAATAGCTGTTGTCACAGAGAAGCACTTACGCTTCACAAATCCTCCTCGACTCCAGCCCTTTCTCTTTCCTGTCCCTTTCTCGGAGTAGGTAAGTCAATTAACCGTGGTTCGCAAGGTCATGTTACACATAAACTAGGCTGAGTAATGTGGGTGCGTATTTTCGGCCTCCGTGTGCAGGTGCAGACACACAGTGTCAGGTATCTGCTCCGTAACTCTTCAGAAGTTTCGTTCCAGATGGTCGTTTAATGTTTCTCCTTGATTCCAGCATAAAAAAACTTAAAAGCACATTTTATGGCCACTGTTTAGTGCTCACATATCCACCTGTATAAATTGTCCTATCATCTTTGACCTCCTTTTCCCCTTTTTTCTCTTTCACAGGAGGCTAAAGGTGATTTCACTAGGTATGTATACTCATAGTCATCATAGCTATTATGTCCTTTTTGAGGTTGTTAAAAGCAACAAAGCCACTAAAAACTAAATATGCTAACGGCTAACAAAGTATCTTGACATTTTCAAGGACTGGATGTGGTCCTTTGCTCCCCTCTTGATCACCTATATCTGTGCCTTTAATTTGATTTACCTCACTTTCTTATTTTTCTCCTACCAGTTTTGAGCCGTTCGGATTTTCTCTTTTCTGCTGGGTTATATTTTCATTTTTGACTTATTAGGGGAAAAAATACTAATTTATGTGCAAGTTTTATGTGAGCTGGGGACCTCATGTGGCCCTTCTGATATTCATCTGTGTGATGTTGGCTTAAATGTATGTGATTCCTCATCCCTTTATTGTAGCATGAAAAACATACTACTACAGCAATCACCTTTGACCTCATTTCAACCAGTGAAAGGAGTAAATAAACACAATAGGGATGGAATGTGACACACTCTGGAGACATTACTTCACATTCCTACCCTTTTTCTTCCCACGCATATACATAAATCTTTTTTTTCTAAAAGCTCATAGTTCCTGCCCTTTGCATTTCTCATCATAACTTTAGTTTTACGTCTCCTCCTAAAATACAGTTTTCAAACCAAACACCTGATTTCCTTTGTTAAATGCATATCATATTGTTCCCAAAGAATTCAGTAAATTGACTGATTTTCAGTGCGGCTTATGTTAATCTGACTACGTTTCAGTAATCTTAATTGAATCTTAGTAAAACAGCGCTTCATTTCTCTCTGCATTTAACAGTTTAAAGAAAAAGATTGGAACAAAACACTATTTTTTTGGATGTTTTTCTGCACAGCTTGCACTTCAGATTGTTATCATGTATCCCAAAGTTGTCCACCCAACCGGTACACTTAATAAATAGCTACATAGTGAGTATCAGTCAATGCAGACGCACAGCTGTGTTCACACATTAAGGAACAGACGGGCAGGGTGGATGGATCTCTGCCAGGGCTTTAGCTCATAGGTTGTCATGTTCCCAGGGCTTTCCCCAATCTTCTGAGGCCTAGGCAGAGGCCGGAGAGAGGCTGGGGGATTAGAGTTGGGTATTAAGACCTCCTGCCGCTGGAGGTCTGAAAACTGAATCTGGGGCCAAGTTACTTTAGCTGTCTGTATGCTTCCCGGTCTCATTTAGTCTTTCTCAGTCTTAATCTTTTCCTGTCCCATTCCTGTTTTGTTTTGTTTTTTTGTATCGCCTTTTATCTTTCTTTATTTTATCTTTGTGTCTCAGCTTCTGTCGCTCTTTTCTTTCTTCTGCTTCCAGCTGTCAGTGTCTACTCTCCGCAGCTGTTCAGACAGACCACAGAAGCATTTAGACCGTGGACATTTACTCCTGTCTCTTAACCAAATGTCCCTTCTTCCAAAATGTTCTAAAGTTCATTTTAAGACTTGGAGAAAATCCTTTTTTTAATATTTAATTTACAACTTTTTTTAAGTTGTCCCCTTTCTACAGTTGATTGATATCTTCCAGGTTTGTGTGAAACTGTTGAGAATAAGTGTCGCTGATCAAGTCTGCTCTTTTTCTTTCACAGTAACGATGCAACTAGGTCTGACCTGAAAAAGCTGCCTGCTCTACCCACCCAGGCCCTAAAGGAGCACCCGTCACTGGCTTACTGGTGAGACACTTTTACCCAGAAAAACCCACCAAACGTTTTATAAGTTCACATGTTGTTTATCGTCTTGCTGATATTTTCCTCTTTTCTCTTTATCCCACCCCCCTACAGTGAAGATCGGGTCATAGAGCATTACAAGAAGCTCAGCGGGCAGAGTAGAGGGCAGGCAATCGTTAAGTAAGTGTGTAAATGTCTTATGTATTCACACAGAGATAAGGTGGTAACGCCTCTAAGAAATCCCCCACATTTTGGCTGGTGTAGTGTCACCCCAGTTTGTGACTCCAGTAAAAGCATTATGTGTTTCACACAACTGCACTGGGGTTTAGTGTGGCATGGCCATGCCAGCTCTACCCTTCACGCAGATGTTGAATCGGCTCTGTGACTACCTCTGCTGAGGGCTTAAAAGCACAATAACAATTCCCCCCAGTTCTGTCTTTGTACAGTACCGTTCACTTAGACGTGTGAGGGGGAATAAAGACACAACCACTCTGCCTTGAACAGGGGCTTTGTGTGAAGGGGGCTTATGCTTTTAGTTATGTTGGTCCAGCATATTGAAAGCTGTCTTCTCTGTAACCCTTACATGTCTCTCTTTCTGCTCCTCACAGTTATATGAGCATTGTAGAGTCTCTACCCACATATGGAGTGCATTACTATTCTGTAAAGGTACAGTTTTACTGCTCTGCCGTTTCTTTTTTTCTCACACATGCACCGCACACCACACACATTTTTTGTTCACTTTGGATCTCTAATCACCCAGTTGGGATTTTTGCACACATGATGGAACTTAAATTTTTACTGTTCCATTTGTGCAGTTTTTTCTACCTCTCTTTAACTTTCCCTTTCTTCCCCTTTGAGTCTTGCACAGATGCACAGCCGTTCCTGAGTTATTTTTGTTGTGTTACAGGACAAGCAGGGGATCCCATGGTGGTTGGGTCTGAGCTATAAAGGCATCTTTCAGTATGATTACCAGGACAAAGTTAAGCCCAGGAAGGTGAGATAATGCTCTTCCTGATCTATCTACCGCACAAACTAAACTGTTCCTCCTTCACTTTTTAAATTCGGTTTATTTCACCCCAAGAAGAGAATTTATTTAGGGAACATGTTGCTTTATACGGAAAGCTCTCTGTCTTTCTTTTTTTACAGTTCCTATCGCCTATTGTTCCATTCAGTCATCAAATGTATTGTGTTTGCAAAGAGCACTAACAATGTTGTATAATTATTACTATCTGGAGATGTTCAGTCTTAGAATGTTTTGCATCCTGTCCTTAATTTATTTCTGCCTCCTCCCAGTCATTTCACTGTGTGGGTTATCTGCAAAAACAATTCTTACCTCACCTTTGACTTCCAGACTGGTTTCAAGCCTTGATCTCTGCCGTTCACCTTTGTCTCGAAAGATGTTATTTGTGTTAACAGCGTCCTTGCACACTGATTGCCCACTAAGACCCTTACTCATACACAAACAGATGCACACTCTCAGAGACAGGAAATGGACTGAACACTGAACTCACCATCCCGACGAATGCTTCCTGTCGCCCAAATGCTTTCCTGTTTGCCACTAACGTGTTTTGAGTGTGTCATAATTAGTGCATTCCAGTCACCAAGCCTGAAATTATGTCTCATTCAAGTGTGCTAAATCTAGTGGTTTCCTTGGTGTTAAGTAACCATGGTGATGAAAAAAAGGAGTCTGTGTATCTCACATCACCAGGTCATTCTGAGAAAACTCCGGATTGGTTGCAAACCATGTACTTTTTTGATATAAAGCACAGGCTTACACTGTAAATTAAAGTTAAGTTGTGCAGCATGAATGGACTGGTATTTATATATGAAGTAACCGATTTGACACTATCCGTGTGTTTATGGATTTATATTTAGAAGTTCTGAGTTGAGCATTTTGGTTGTTACCACCTTTTTTGGAACATACATTCAGCAGAAACTTCTCAATCACAATGTAGCATTAATTTTATATACATACATATATATATATATATAGGTTTTGTAGACTAAAAAGTAACAATTGAGGCCATAAACCTATCAGGAAAACATGTCCTGAAGTCTTAAATCAGGAGACTTCCCTTACACACTGTTTAAAAGAATGTAGAATTAAGTGAAGTGAAAACCTTCCATATAGGTTTCCCTTCCCTCCCATTTTTCTTTGCTGTAAATTTTTCAGGCAGGTAAACAGTGGTATATATTTGTCCGATGTAATTCCCATCAAAAACTAGAAGGGCTCTCTACTAAGACTGATGCTATAACGCTATTGCTTAAAAACCGAGCTGGTTCTTCTTCGCCAGCTTCCATGGCATTCTATCCAGTATTTTTTCAGCACCTTTGCTGAGAAACAAACAAACAACAAGCAAACTATACCTCTGTCTGGACAGAGAAAACAGAAGCAGGGGCCACTTTTTGAGAAGTGCCAGCTTATCAAGCATTCAGCTGCCATAGCAACAGTCAGTGTGACTCAAGGTCCATTAAGCTTTGGTGCTGACACCCTGACTTTGTTCTCCTTTCATACTCACCCTCCCTTATTTCTTCCATGCATTTGAGAGCAGAGAATGAGTGAGATTGGGCCTCTTTATCATGTTTTGACTCAAGCTGAAACCAAAAACTGACAAATTTGTTTAAAAAATTATTCACATTTTTATTTCTATATATGACTTTTAATTTCTATCGTATTTGCTGAATCTGGGTTATTTAGGTTTTCGGGAGAGAAAAAAATCTCGCTGATGATTTAGAAGTCTTCACATATTACACACTAGGCATTAAAGGGTTAATAAAACATTACATATTCAGCTAAACTCCACTGAACACAGTGAAGGTTTGTTCAATAATCAGATGATAAAAGAGAGTTAGCACTTCTTCTTTCCAGAGATGTGTTCTAGAAAAGACGAAGGTCATTCGAATGCTAGTAAGTGAGTGTCACCACTATTTTAACTGCAGGAAGTGCAGATTTGGTGATTCGTCAGCCCACAAGTCAGATGGATACCAGTAATCACTGACTCACAGTGCAACCACTGTTAAAGTTTTCATTACTGTAAATCTGGGAGATGGAGGAGCAACGCTGATTATGAGACATTTTGGGGCTGTTGTCTTTGGACACAGGAACAAAAAACCCTAATGAATTAGAGAGTAGCTTCACGCTGTGGTGTACAATAGTTGTGCACTAAAAGTAGTTCTCTTTAATTAGTTAGTTTTTATAAGGGGAGATCCTGTTGTTTCTAAATGCAAGCAACCTACCACACCCTCAACTTTTTTTTATTAGTGGTTTTAAAATACCTCCTCCAGTCTTACCACATGCTAAAAGCGGACACACTAGAACAGTTCATCATGGCAGGGGTTTACAGTGGACCCACACACTGTTCTAATGCTTCATTAGTGTCTTGTGACTTACTTAAGCAGAGATGATAGAGTTAGTCACAGACTGGGAAAAAACAGTATGATTAAATAATAAGAATATTTAAGTTAAAAACCCTTTGTCAGCATCTGTTTTTGTGTTCTTTTTCCGAAACATTGAACAACAAGTTTTGTGACAACTGGTGCGCACTGGAACCCCACCCAAGGGTTAAACAATAGTTTTTGGGACTCCTAGTTCCAGTTATAGAAAAGAATACCTGGCTACACTATAGTTAAACCAATGTAAGCTATTTAAACTTTCTATTCTTTCAGTGGGCCTCTGGGAGTCTGCTACACCAAAGAAAGGCGTTTACACTCAATCAGATGTGACCTTTCATCTCCAGTGGATGTGTGTTTTTGTGTGCAAACATTATTGTGAGACAGACGTGGCTCCGTGCACACGGGCACCTCGTGTGTTTATGAATAATGACCAGTCACTTCCTCTGTCTGTGTCTGAGTGTGCCATTGTCTGTAAGGCTTCTACAGCCAAATCGAAGAGGATTTATATCCACACGCACATGCCGAACCTTTAGCCTGATAACAGCAGCACCCGCCGGCTTTCACTGGAGTTCCCGAGGAAGAAGCTGCCAGCATGTTTTTATCAGATATTCAAGATATTAACAGAAGAAAGTCTTTTTTAATACAATAGGTTTATGTAAGAAGAGTACTTACATAATCTGGTATATACTTGAAAGCAAAAATGGCTAAATTTAAAGCTCAGGGTGGCATAATTGTGTCTCTTTGTAAATAAGGTGGCTCAAACAGATTCAAATACCTTCTGCGTACACGTACAGCTTATCCGCAAACATCAAAGTGCACTTTCAAAATTGCAGCAAGTCTGTCCAGCTGACAGTGAGGACAGTTTTAGTGGTCTCGTGCTTGAACACAGTTACAAACAGTTGCAAACACCTATCTAATCTCCACAGCTCTGGCCCATATGTAGCCAACACTCACACAGTCACTCGTTCCATTTCTACTCTGCCTGCTATTTTTAGCAGCATGCTACATTAGCACTTAACACTCCATTGACAACGTGCAGTACAGTAAAAGTTTTGATAAGATCACTGATTTTCTTTCATCGTGCACCCACAGGCACGCATGACTGTTTTGGGTTTTTTTGTTCATAATATCCCCCCCCCCCTTTTTCTCCCTCTCATCCTTCTGTCCATTGTTTTCCCAAGCTGTTAAAATTCCTCGGCTGTGACCTGTTCCTCCCTTCACACCCTTTCTCCTCTTCCCCTCCCGTTTTCGTTTTCGCCTTATTTCTGTTCTCCTGTTTGATACTCGTTTCATGTTTCTGTGTGTCTCTTACAGCTGATAGATGCAGACTGTCTTCTGTTCTTAAGTAGCCGACACTCTGCTCTTTCCCAAGCACAAAATACACTCAGACATTGAATGTCTGTGTGTGCAGGCAGAGAGGTCTGACTAAACAAAGCAAGGGCACTTCAATCGGCAGGACCGCAAAAAGCTTCTTTCCCCCGTATCACGCCCCAGACCCCTCATCACACACACACCACAACCGCAGCCCAGAGCAGAGCCCACAGTCCCTCAGGGAGGGAGGAGGGGTCAGAAGGAGGGGAGGCACAAACACCCCCTCACTTTTTAACGCTCCTAGCAAAGCTCTAGGAGAGGAGGAAACTTAACTTTACACACTTTCTCTCCGCCAGCACAAGCACATGCTTACAGATGGTGAGCACCCACCACCTCAGAACTTTCAGCTTCCCTGCGCCTGGGAGGATTTAAGATACACATATGTTTTGGAGTACGTCTAGAGGGAACTTTGCTTGCCCAGCTGGGTTTGGCTTCTTTTAGAGCGGCGCTGATGGTTGTCAAAGGATCGGAAAGGAGGCAAAAAGAAAGTGAGATCTCCAAAGTGAGATCATCCAGTGCTGGGATCCTCTGTGGACACGACTGCCTGGTCTGGACCTGATCATAGAGCTCCAGATTAGGTCCTCCTCTCTTACCAACTCCTCCTTTTCAGCCCCGATTCCCCCCCCCCTCCTCCTCCTTACCCATTGCATTTTCTTTCAAAACAAATTGGAACATACAGTGAAGAGACCCGGCTGAAAGCTGCGCGGATTTAATGTGAAGCACGTTTTTTTTCTGTGAGAAGTCCTGAAGAGTTTCTGTTTTTCCTAAATCTCAGGTGTTCCAATGGCGTCAATTGGAGAACCTCTACTTCAGAGAGAAGAAGTTTTCGGTGGAAGTTCATGACCCCAGGAGGTAAATTTATATCACAAACTGAAGCTGAGATTGATTTGATGCCGTTCTTTTCTAAGAAACCGTTTAATTATCAAGCATTCGTGTCCTCTTTGTCCAGAAGTCCTCATTGGACGATCGTGATCTTAAATCAGTAAATTTAATGATGAATGTTCTTGCAATTGATCTGTGGTCTCAAGCCTAATATCTGGAACTCATAAAAGTCTTACATCAGTTAAGAAATGCCTTCCAGTAGCTTTTACTGTAAATTACTACTGTGGCCCGAGTCAATATGTTGAGATTCAGATTCCATACTGCGCGGTACACGGAAAGAGAGATAGAATCTAATTGAGTAATGGCTGAAAAATTTGTCTTGGCAACAGTGCAAGATATTGAGGATGTCCTGGTGGAGCCCGCCACGGATTGAAAGGTTGATTATTAACACGCTCGTGCAGCCACATGCATGCAAAGAATACACGCGCTCTAGTGCTCGCGCACACAAACATGCACACATATATGTTAAAACCCTTGGTAGTTGACCACAGAAGGATAGATGGCTGTGCGATAGCTCTTTTGCGGAGGAAGTGACCTCTCTTGTGTTTATTTAACATGGCTATATGTGTGGAGTGTTATTCCAATGACAGAGGGAATGGGAGAAAAAGAGACAGACAGGGTGAAGCAGAGAGCAGCGGTGTTTTCTTTAAAGGAAGCTGTCATTAGAGGGAGCTGGTCTGTTGCTCAGCTACAGATGTGTGTTTAAAAAAGGATGACTAAACAATGGGAAACATCGTGTGTGGCTTTGCAAAATGTATCTCTATCAGGACAGTTCTCCTCAGGCTTCAAAAGAAGCTCGCTCTCTAAGTAGCAGCACTAGTCACTGGAGCAGTCCAGTGGGAGTGTTTTCATTGCTGTAAACATGTAGCCATCTTTTTTATTCAGTGTATATAAGGAGGCTTTGTGTCCGCTCCTACTGTAGGGCGTCGGTAACGAGAAGGACGTTCGGTCACAGCGGCATTGCTGTGCATACCTGGTACGCCTGTCCTGCCCTCATCAAGTCCATCTGGGCCATGGCCATCAGCCAGCACCAGTTCTACCTGGACCGCAAACAGAGCAAGGTCAGTCTCTCCCACGACGTTTTAAGTCAAAGCGTACGATAGATCTCACGAAATAATTACAATTCTACAAGGCATGGTCAGCAGGAGTGGTGGGTTAACAGTTTACAGATGTGTTAACACAGCCTGTCCATGTTCGTCCATACAGTCAAAGATCCATGCAGCGAGGAGTTTGAGCGAGATTGCCATAGACCTGACAGAAACAGGAACACTGAAGACATCCAAACTGGCCAACATGGGCAGCAAGGGCAAGATCATCAGTGGCAGCAGTGGCAGCCTGCTCTCCTCAGGTCAGTGCGTGTTTGCTGCTTCAGAGGAAAATAACCACGAGGGGGAAATACCCCGACAAAGATTTGTCTTTGTGCTCGCATCTGTTGATGATGAGGAATCCTGCTGACAACCGGAGAGACAGAAACAGCTGTGACTGGAAAGAGACCAGCGTTTCTGTGTTGAATGTTCTCAAACATATACTGTGCTCACACCACACCCAGTGTCTTTCAGTATGTATAGAACACCACTCCCATGTCACACAGACTCATCCTCCAGAGGCCCCCGACTCCTCTAATTTTAGTGGGTGAGAGAATGAGAGGGGCAGAGGGGCAGTGAACAACTTTGCGTGGCCTTTAAAACAATGCTTATCGGTGCTGAACAAGTAACGAGTTTGACGGGAAGATTTGTAACACTAGCTAAAATTAGAGTTGGGAGGGAAAATGCCCTTTTACTCCCATACAGCCACATACAATGTGTTCCATGCCAGGAAATCAAGTGCAGCAATTCCATTGATGAGAAACACCAGTACTGTAACCTGATTCGCTACTACTGTATAAATCACTTTAAGTTGCATGCATTAGTCCAGCCAAGCATAATCTATGATTAGCATGTACGTAACTACATGGTCAGCTGTTTAAAGTATTTCACACTTTACTGAGTCAATTACTGTTGCCGGGGAAGAACACAGTTCCCTTTCAGTATGCGTTGTCTGCTTGGGCTTGTCATTTCGCCATTGATCACCTCAATTAGATTTACTCCTTCCTTCTGTTTCACCTCCACCTAGCCCTTGCTCTTCTCATATATCGCTTCCTAACCTTCCTCTATCCTCCTCTGCGTTCTTCTGTAGTTCTGTTCGCACCTCATATCATTCAGTGTTTCTTCATTTTGTCTATCTTTGCCTTGTCACTTCTTTTTGTGACTACGGTGTTGATTTCTTGATGACTAGGGTAGATCTTAGTCAAACAGCATGAACGGGAACTGTGACACATCTGTGACACGTCTAAACGGGGCTTTCGAAATACATCTAAATTGTAAAGTCTTCAGAAATCTTTCAACGTGCAGGCTTTTTTCCTCCAAAACAGAAGTAATTTGGGTTCATCTAAGAATTATAGACAGCTGTTTATTTCTAACAAAACATTTTCACCAGTACTTTTTAGTATTTGCGTGTCCATCCGTCCGTCATCCCCACATAAGGGGTCAATGAGAGAGCAAGAAACACAGTGTGAGTGGGAGGGTATGAGTTGTTTTCAAACAAGACTGGCACCACCTCGGGGTCTTGGAGATGTGCGTCACCGACTTTGTCCTAAACTGCCCCTTCCTTTAAACACTCACACACTTGCACAAACACACCAGCAAAACTCAGTTTCCTTATCGAAACGTTCCACTCACTTCCTTGTAAACATCCTGCAAGACTTGCAGGTGCACAAGCTATTTCTCCCTCTGCTTCAGATTCTGCCTCAGAACAGTACTCTGACTCCTGTCTTCACTTTACGTGTTGTTTGCACCTTGCAGGCTCTCAGGAATCGGACAGCTCCCAGACGGCTAAGAAGGACATGCTGGCAGCGCTGAGGGCCAGACAGGAAGCTCTGGAGGAAACGCTAAAGCAGAGACTAGAGGAACTCAAGAGCATCTGCATACGGGAGGCGGTAAGTGAAAATAATTGTTTGAATTGGTGAATATTTTGAAAAGCGTAAATCCTTTCTAATCTCATTTCAATGGCCTCACACTTCCTACCTTCCTTCTCCTTAAATTTTTCCAGGAGTTGACTGGAAAGCTTCCAAAGGAATATCCACTGGATCCGGGAGAGGAGCCGCCAACTGTGAGACGGAAGATCGGTACCGCCTTCAAACTGGATGAGCAGAAAATTCTACCTAAGGGAGAGGTGAGGCCATAACTTCCATTTCTTTTACTGGCACCTTATCTCTCACTCCAGTCTCATACTCCCCAAATAAAAACATTAGCTCATTTAGCAGAGTCAGCATTTGAAATGAATACCTAATAGTATATGTATTTGGCCAAGTGGTGTAATGCAGCAGCTGGAATATGTCAGCGTTAATTAGTTTAGTGAGTTTATCTCTTCTCAAGCTAGCTGTAATGTTAATGGGCCGCACTGAACAGTAGTGCTGTTTAAGGGCTCTGTGTTATTCTGAGCAAATCAAGGTTTTCCTTAGGATTTAAATGAAGCTAATATACTCTACATATTACTCTCAAAATGTAGTGGGATGAGGATTCACATGATAATAAAGTAACCGATTCTATCAGAATTTAATTTTGAAGTAACAAAGAAAACTGAGAACCCTGAAAAGCCACAATCTGAGACATCTTGATCTTGTAAAGTAGCTTTGTCTCGCTGCCGGTTTTGTGCCACGGTTAGATTTTCCAGAGCAGCAGAACTTCTAAATATAGCCCGGCTGGTTTCTCACCACAGGAAGTGGTGATAGTAGGATTGTGTGTGCTCCTGCATGTGTGCAGGCATTCATGTGGGTGTGTTCCACAGAGGTTTGTGTGCTTTGAAAAGAATCCAGGGACACGATATCACAAAAGTGCATCGCAAGCACAAACGGCGTTTCTTGATCTACACGGAGCACCTTAAACTCGTAGACACACAGAAACAGAAGCCGCTCGGCTGTAGTGTAAAGCCACTGTTAGTGAGAGGGATTCTTCAGAAATGAGGTAGCCCACTATGAAGTCAACCCAAGTGAATACATCATTGTTCTGCCTCTGTGGAGACAAGTGAAATCATGTGTGTGCGCGCTCAGATGTCAGTGAAGGAATTACGTGCTAGATGGACACAGTGTGTCACAGGACTTTGTTTTCTTGTCATGTTCATGAGTTTTAACAGTAGAGGTATGTCTGTATACATTTTACTGTGCAGGCAACACAGTATATATACAGTGCATTAAACAGAATATGTTTACTTGGTTCACCTGTTTGATTTGAGAAGTCTCAGGAGAGCTGTAGAAGAGGAGAGGACGGATTGATGGAGAGGAGTTATTACTGGGGACAGAGTGTCTCAATAGAGATTATCCAGTGGTGAGAAAATGCACGGCTGCAGCACAGATAAATGATTTCCGCAGTGTGTTTTCTCTGGCAAGGCTTTCTGTATGTGTATAACCGAACTACGTTGCATGGGAGAGTTATTCTGAATCCGTGTCTGCAAACTAGAACTTGTTATTTTTGGATCATTCCTACATTTCTGTTGCTAAAAGCTGCGAGTGGATCCAGTAACTTAGTAGCTTGTGTTACTCTAAGTTTGCAATCATGTTTGTGTATTTGCCAGGAAGAAGAACTTGAGCGTTTGGAGCGGGAGTTTGCCATTCAGTCACAGATTACCGAGGCAGCCAGGCGTCTCGCCAGCGATCCTCACGTAAGCAGTAAAAAGCTGAAGAAACAGAGGAAGACTTCTTATCTGAATGCACTGAAGAAGCTCCAGGAAATTGAGAACTCCATCAATGAGTACCGGGTCCGCTCTGGCAAGAAGCCTACGCAGAGAGCGTCGCTTATCATAGAAGGTACCAATAAACTGCCTGTTCACTTAGGGAAAATCAAATCGCTTTCATATCTATGTCATATCAATTTGCTGTAATTGCCACCACAGACAGCAATATTCTTATCTGTACTGTTATATAAACCCACCCATTGTATGGCGAGGCTAGTCATTTTCAGTATTTTTGCTATTGATATAATAAAGATCTGAAAACAATGACACTGACACAAAAGCTTTTAGATTTTGTAACCTCTTGTTTTTGTTTTTATGTCCTATAGAAGCCAATATTGGCTCTGAAGACAGCTCATTGTCTGATGCACTGGTCTTGGATGACGGTGAGTTTCCGTCCCTCGCCTTATTCCCATTGATAGCTGTGCTGTTCCTAATAATAATATAATGTCTAATCTAATCCAATCACTACTTTGTTTCAGATGATCCTCAAGTTACAGGTACCCCCACCTTCTCTCCAGTAGCTTCACCTCATAAGGGGCTCCCTCCAAGACCACCATCTCACAGTCGCCCCCCTCCACCGCAGTCCCTGGATGGCCTGCGACACCTGCACTACACACGCTCTGACTATGACAAATCCCCTATCAAACCCAAGATGTGGAGCGAATCATCACTGGATGAGCCCTATGAGAAAGTCAAGAAACGCTCATCTCACTCGAGGTATGAGTGAGTTTGTCTTTAAATTTGTAATATAGCAATGTGATCTCTTGCTATATTTAATCAGAGTTAGACAACAAGTAGTTCATTCCAGTTACTGTTAGAGGAGTGTGTGTGCAAGAAGTATAATTGCAGAGAGGAACTGCAGATAGAAAATGTAGAAAGTCAGTGGATGCTGATGATAATAATTGCATTTATTTTGAATGTAACTTATTAACTTCTGTCTAGTCACAGGCGTTTCCCGAGTTCGGGCAGTGCAGAAGCAGGGGGTAGTAATTCTCTGCAGAGCAGCCCCATTAGGAGCCTTCCTCACTGGAATTCTCAGTCCAGCATGCCATCAACTCCGGACCTGAGGACCAGGACCCCGCACTATGTACATTCCACCAGGTCAGTTGATATACCTTAAATCATTTCCTGGCAGTTAAACTGACTAAGCCTTGTTTCCCAACTGGAAATAAGCCATTGGACCTCTTCACTTTAGCTCTCCTTTGCTGCTCTTTCTATTTTTCCATTTACTTAACTAGAAATTACAGCAGTTTCTGTGTTAAATAAGTTAGTAGATTTTAAGCCCAGTCTTTACACTTAGTATTTCTGCCAACTCTCACAGGTCAGTGGACATCAGTCCCACCCGTCTGCACAGTCTTTCTCAGCACTTTAGGAACCGCAGCTCCAGCCTTGAGTCCCAGGGCAAACTGCTGGCATCCGATTCCGACGCACATCCGCACACCCTGGGCAGCCCTGACTTCTTCCTCGGCCCAGGACGCAGCTCCAATGGCTCCGACCCACTGGATGACTGTTCATCCTGCACCAGCCAAAGCAGCTCGGAGCATTATTACCCCTCTGGAGGACCCCCTGGCAGTAACCCAAATTACTCTACTCTGGGAGAAGATTCACCCTCCAAAGCCAGGCAGAGGCAGAGGCAAAGACACAGGTAAGAGCAGGGAAATATACATATATATACATGTTCATGTGTGAGACTGTCATATATCATTTTTTGTTTTCTCTGCAGGTCTGCAGGTCACCTGGGTTCCTCTAACTCTGGCTCAATGCCAAATCTGGCAGCTAAGAACGGTTCTGGTGGAGGATTAGGTGGTAGTGGAGTGGGAGGGGGACACCATGGAGTCTACCTCCACAGCCAGAGCCAGCCCTCTTCCCAGTACCGCATCAAAGAGTACCCTCTATATGTAGAGGGCAGCCCCAACCCCGTGGTGGTGCGCAGCCTGGAGAGTGATCAGGAGGGACACTACAGCGTGAAGGCTCAGTTCAAGACCTCCAGTTCCTACACGGCTGGGGGACTGTACAAAGAGGCTTGGGGGGGAGAGGAGGGAGGAGAGGGAAGCGGCCGACTTACGCCGTCACGCTCTCAGATCGTAAGGACTCCATCATTGGGGAGAGAGGGTGGTGGAGGCGGAGGAGGTGGGAGGGCGGCCGTTTCTGAAGAACTGCGGTGCTGGTACCAGAGGTCTTCAGGGAGCCTAAAGGAGAGGAGTCACTCACATTCGGGATCCACATCCTCTGAGACTGGGTCACAGCAAGGAACTCTGGGACATGGTCGAGGAAGTAGAGTAGGAACACTCGCCAAAGGCTCACCAGGTAGGTCTCATCGTGAAACCTTATCTTAAACAGGTGAACCGATATCAGCGGTCACAGCTTCATACTCATAGCCTTGAGATTTTGAGTCTGGCACGCTACTGCACTGAGAAGGCATGCAGTACATCCCTGCTGTCACTAATTTTGTCAAATGACCCCGTGACAAAAAGGCAAACCGAGGCCATCGCCACATGTAAAGCATGGTTTGAATTCCTTTGCTCCTCAGATTATTGGAACTACTGAGGGATCGTTTAGCTTCAGATCTTCTGACTGAGAGCAGTTCTATATTAGTTTTCCATAAATGTTTAGATTATAACAACAATTGTTAATAATTAAACGGTTTACAAATATCTCTGCATTCAGAAAAAAATGACAGAGCTTCTTAAGCTAATATTTTAATTTCACGAGGGTAGACAGTTGCTCAGTTTGACTAATTATGGAGTTTGAGCAGCACGAAAATACACTTTTAATCTTTTCTAGTGGTATTGATGTTTTTGAAGACGGGATGGGAAATTTTGCAATAGACTGTTTAAGGCGTCAGTAGAGTGAGGCATGTGTGTGTGGGTATGAAGCAGTGTTCCTCCGGTTGGCTGCTTGAGCTAAAAGGCAAGCCTGTTAAAACTCTAGCTTTGGATAGGAACATATATCCTATCCAAAACTGGATCTCTCTGTTCTACTCTTTTGTCTTTTTCTCTTTCTCATTAACCCCAAATGGTATCTGACTGCCCCTCCCTGACCCTGGTAATGACAGAGGTCTCTTCCTGTTACAAAGACGTTCTTCCTACCCACTGTTGTCAAATGCTTGCTCATAAGGGATCATCTAATCGTGCGGTTCTCGCTCTTAATATAGTTTACAATGTAAAACACTCTGAGATGGCTGTCTGTGTGGCTCTATGTAAATTGAATTGAATTGACAAACTGATTTGTGTTGGTCTTGGTTGTAATTTACTAGCTGGTATTGCTGATTTTAAAAATGCAACTAAAACTCCAAATCTTTATTTTATGAGACCTCACGCTGCCTGCTGTGTGACCCACGCGTGCAATAATTAATGAGATTATTCATGTATATTCAGAGATTAGGGTTCCGATTAAGAACTCTTACTGAGTAGTTCAGCAGTTCAACTCGCATTTATTTTTAATTATACATAAATTAATAATGTTTAGGAAAATTGTAATTACTAAGCAATTAAAGCTGAATTTAAATGTTGAATTTCTGGATTTGTGATCTGAAGCCTGACAGGCTTTGGTCACGTCGCACACACGTTAATGTTTCCCGCATTTATGTGAGGATTCTCACATCTTCACCCAGTTTTCTCACTTGAATGACAATTAACCTTCAAATGTCCCTTCGGGGAAGTAAATATACATCTTTTTGGCCCAAGGATGACATTTTGGTACTTGCTCATCAATTATGTGGAAGTGTGTGCTAAATGCATTTTTGACAAGTCCATATGAAGAGATAAGGGCTAAGAACAAAATAAAAAAAGAAGCCATGCCCCGTGTGAGGCTCGAACTCACGACCTTCAGATTATGAGACTGACGCGCTGCCTACTGCGCCAACGAGGCCTGTTCCCCCCCCCTCCCTCAGCCTTCCCACCCAAGCTCACAGGGTATTTCCCACCCCCATCCCCCGAGCATAGCTGGAATTCCTTTGTCTTTCACCTCACTGTAACCTCTGGTCTTTGTGTCACTTGTCTGACTCTACTTTTTTTGCTTTAGCTGCTTCCCCTCACAGCCAGAGGAGTATGACCCCGTCAAGTGAACACGCAGCTACACCCACACCTCCCTGCAGCCCACAACACATCCTTAACTGGCAGAGCGGGTAAGAAACCCACAAGCACGCATAAGGTGGCTGAAAAGCTGCCAAGACGTTGAAGCCGGATAGGAATATTAGGGAAAACTGCATCTGCTGCTCAGCTTTTTTCTCTTTCTTCATATTTGTCCAGGACTCACGCTTAACACACTCACAAACTTCGAGTGTCTGCTCTTCTTTGTGTCGTTGTCTGTGATTTTGGGTGCAAAACACTTCCTAATTCTTTTCAGACTTCAGTCAGATCATATATGTCTGTATTTTCCCGCCTGCTTTCCTGTTTGTGGTCTTTATGTACATTTTTTCTTCACTGTCTTTCTTGATTATCTTACACACCTATTACTCTTAATTTTTTTCTCTTGGGAATCTTCTTATTGCTTACTGTTTGTCATTTCATTCTTGTCCATCTTTCTGTCTTTACTAACCCTCCTTTCCTTATGTGTGTGTCCTCTCTCCTGGTTTAGAGGGACAGCAGACTGCTCTCCTACTGAGGACGTCTGTCAGTCTCCCCCTCAGCCCAGCTCTGATGCATAGAGGTACCGTCTGTGGTCTAAATCTAGCGTAGTACTAGGAAAATGCAATATCAGTAGATTTTAAAGCAAACCTTTTTCATTATAGAACATCAGGACCAAATTTAGTCCAACTTTTCATTCATAAAAATGTATCCCATCAAAACATGATAAACTAATGCACATCTGTGGGGCACTGACAGTTGTGGTTCATTTCTCATTTCTTGCTCTTTGACGGTGGAGGTATATGTGTCATGAACTCCCTCTTTGCCTGTATCTGCCTGAATTTTGCATGCTTTCTGCTCCGTTCTGATCTGCAGCTCACAAGATTCACTAATAAACAACACTTAACCGTGCACCGTCACAGACCAGAGATTGAACAACAACAAAAAAGCTCACAAACAGCAGACAAAGACAAAAAAGCTGCCCTGCATCTGTTCTGATTCTGGTCTTTCTTCCTCTGCAGGACTTTGAGTGACAGCTGTTTTCTCAGCAGCCCTCTGTGTTCAGAGCTGGCAGATGTCCAGTGGTACGGACAAGACAAGGCCAAACCTGGAACGCTGGTCTGAGACCTTCCTATGGGGCCTAGAAAAGTCCCATTGCCCTCTCCTACTGCCTCTCCATTGTCCCCCACAATTATCCATCAACAACTGACAACCTCATCCTCAAAGCCCTGCAGAAACCCTGCCCTGAGCAGACTTGACGGGCTGGACGTGAGCCTCCCTCCTCCTAACATCTCACCACCTCTTTATTATGACCTGTCTATTGCAGTTCAGCAGGACAGGGACTACTCGCTGGGCTCTTTAAGGGCAGATTTCACAGGACGGACTGAGAAATGCCACCTCAGCTGTTGAACTGTCACCCTACAGCACCACAGAGCTCTTTCTTTACTCACCTACTGCAGCACACAAATAACAGGGCAACGGGAAGCGAGCGATGGGAAGTGAGAGCACAGCAAAACGTCCCACATGCAACTCAAAACTCAGCAGAAACAACACAGGCCATTCCAGGATCTCTTTCATATTCATCTTTGGTCCCCAGACTTATTCCAGTGCACTGCCTCCCAGTCAGAGGATACCTGCTGGATTTGAGCCACCAGTTTAAAACCCATTTCCAGGCCCAAACGAACTGTGTTGCATTTCATTCCCATTAACACTTGTTTGTCTTTCTTTTTCTTCATTTCTTCCAGCGTATTTATAAACAGAAAAGATGACTGAAACATTCAGGAGTTCTCTCTTTTACCCACAACCACAGACAGTTTCTGAATCGACCAGTCACACCAGAGTTCTTGGGCAGGCACAAAGAAAAAAAGTGAAAACTGTACTCAAAGTGACGATATCAGCATGGTTTCTGAGAGACTGTCTGGATATTAATAAGGACTATAGCAATAACAACCCTCGTAGAAGTCTTTGGACTGGTTTGAATCGGCGGAGTGAATTCAAGGATCATGATAGGGGGAATTTGGATTTGTGGTTGTTTGGCGTTACTCTTTTGCCTTCTTCACTGACTTCATCCTTCGTGTTTATTTTAATATCTGTGATCTTCAGAGGATTTCTCTGTCCGCAGCAGCATGTTTGATCACATGGTGTATGAGCCAGGGAGTAGAGGAGGCTTGGAAGAAAAGGTCATTTATGGGTGCTGTTCAGTCATTACAGCACTTTTTTCAATTTTGTCTGAAGTTTGTTGGTCTGGCCTTTGCGCACTGTTTCATATTAAACCCTGAAAGAAAGAAAAAATGTCTGACATGTCTTGGCATTACTTCTATTTTAATATTGCATTGGCTCAGTTAGAATTGTTTAACCTTCGATCTTGGCTCTACACCAGCTCTCACCATGCTGAGTATCCCTTTATGGCACTGTGTTTACTCATCTTACTTTATCTGTTCCAAATATGTTGGTGCTTTACATTAATACTGTAATTTACTACTGAAATCATTACAAACCACACAGCCCCTTTACTTCCCCACAGCAGAAAGCCATTCTATGAAATTACAGTGAGGCACAGCGGACGGATGACATCCAACGAGGGTTTATTTGGTATTAAGTGAAATGTATTTTAACACCATTAAGTCTGAAAGCACAACATTAACAGTGTCTTTGAGGGCTGGACCTACAGTAAGTGTATTCTCATATCAGTGTAACCACAAGGTGTTAAAGGGCAATCCTCTCTGTGTTTCAGGCATCAGATAATTAAAACCCCTGCTGTCAGGGAAGAAACGCTAAAGCCAACACACAAATACTTTAATCCGCTCAAATGGAGAGAATTATTTTTCTCACACGTCCTAATCAATCAAATATTCAGAACAGGGTTAGAAAAGCACATCTAGTTTTGTAAAAAAAAGAAAAAAGAAATAACAATAAAGGGAATTTTGGTTGTTTTTAGCCATTTTCCTTCTCTTCCTTTGACAAATGTTTCCGTTGCAAATTAATGCTCACCACTGTTTCCTTATTCCTCAAAATCTAAATTAACCAAGTGCTATTTTGCTCTAAAACACGTTGTGAATCTCAGTGATAGATCCTATAGCACCATTCAGACTGGATAAAAGGTGTATTGTGCTTCTTGGTATGAGAGGAACGGTACGTCTTTCATTTGTATTTCCTTTATAGACTGCTGTGAGTTATTTGGGGCAAACAATATTTTACTAAGAAGGTTTCGCCCGACCTCCTGCATGGCCAGTTCTTGGGCAGTTGTTCCTGCCAAGTTTGGACAAATTGAATAAGTCGTTAAGCAGAGTTGGAACCAGTGATCACCTAATATGACTTCTTTACTCGAGTGTATTTGAGTTTGATCTTGCTTTTCCCTCCGAAACATTTCTGTGCTAGACAAAAAATCCCACGCATGCCGTGAAGATCCTCTGAGAAAGGAAGACCCCAAAGACAGCGCCCAGCTCCTTCGTGTTACCATTAGCACGTTTTACTCCGTGGTGTCATCCCGCACCAAAAAAAGTACCATTTTGACCTTGTTGTAATCTCTGACCTCTGAGCTCATTGTGAAGACGTGTGACATCCTTTCCCTTCATATTTCCAAACAACATATTTCCTGTGCTCCATACTAATGTATGAGGTTTTTGTAATACTCCCAAGAGAAGAAATGAACTAACTATTTTATCAAGTCTTTTCCTGTATGTACTGATGGGGCACTATTAGATTTTGTGGGGTTTTTAACATTCACATCCTTTGTTTTAACAATGTTCCACTTTAAATGAACCAGTATTGTTTTTTGTTTTTTTAAGTTTCGGACATTGTAACAACCCTTTCAGGTGCTACAAAATGACCACTTACTGCTTTGTCACGTAGGATCTAGACATCTCTTCATTGTTATCAATAGATTCAATACCAGATGTGCAAAATGAAGCTTATTTTAACAAACAGTTTAATAGTAGAAGCACTTCCTCTACCAGACAATAGAGCATGTAACTCAATTTTATCAGTTCTCTTCAGCTGAAACAGTACATTAAAGGTGTTGTAGGAAAACAAATGTGGAATTGATTAAAAAAAAACACTTAATTCCACACTTAATTTATTCTTTTTTCTATTAAGAATTTGTATAGTAACTTTGCATTTTTCAAAACTGTGTTGTTCAAAATTGATGATGAAATTTTCAAGACGAGAAGCTGTGGTGGTTCTTGAGAGTAAGAAAATAAATTATTGATGAATGTTCTCAAGATAAGTGGTCTGTCGTTTCTTTTTTCACTTCTTCCGTTCCCTTTCTCCAAAGTGGTTCAAGATCAGATACCTTGAGGCCATCCAGCTGAAAGGTCATAGTGTCGGCCAGACTTATCAAAGGGAATCCCAACATGTGGTCACTGTTTCCTCTCCTCCGGACACACTCGCTCTCCCAACATCCGAGCTTAATTTACTTCCCTCCCTTCTGCACCTTTGAGAGGATTTCCTGTGGAGTCAGAAGGGAAGATACACTCCAAACAGAAAAGATATTACTCATCAGAAAACGTGGTTAAACAGCCCAGCTTCACCTTTTTTAATTTGCTGATATCCACTGGAAAACAAAATCCTCCTTTAAGTAAATTCTGCTGAAATGTGTGTTTAACTTATCGTGTGCTCTACTATTTTAAGGCTAGCACTCAGGCCCAAAACTCACAAACGGTAGTTGTGATCCTTTGTGATGATATGTGGTTTCTGCTAACATGAGCACAGTGTCAGTTTCTGCCAGGACACCCAGCTTTATCATCCTGCTTTGGTTTGTACCACTTCTGTGTCCATTTACTAATTAATCCCACGTTGGTCTTTGTACTCGGTGTGTTCCCATAGCAGTTCTCCCTGCCAGGCAACAGCTGGAAGCTGTTATCCCGAACTGCCGTGAGAAAGTAACTGCACTTGGATTTTTTTCCACTCATACGTCTGTTTGTGCATGTTTGTGTGTCTGTATGTGTGTGTGTGTGAGAGAGAGAGAGAGAAAGAGAGAGAGTTCTTGCTGCAGGAGTGGTGTATGACCTTCGTTTAAATTCCTAATTAAATCCTCCATCACTGAAATACTCAAACACACCACACCCTCTACTACACAATACATAAATATAAGAACTATTACTCATGCACATATGTCTTTGATGTGCAGTTTTTGACTGTATGTTGAGTTTAGGGTTAGGGTTCAAGTAAGATGCTTAAAATCCCACTGACATTCATGAAAAAATATCCAGAGGGAGGGGGGGAAAAATAACAGATTCTTGCAAGCTTTTTCAACAGGAACATTTATTTACAGTCAGCGACGGATAGATTACAACTGAAGAAGATTCATATTCATTAGATCACTCTCAGCTTCTCAGCCCTGAAGGTCCTGAGTGCTGAAAAAAAAGAAAAAAAAACCTTAAATAATAAAATGAAATTCATTATCCAGGTTTACGCTCAACTACTGCAATGGAGTAAAATATCACACTGGTTTACGATGTGAAAAATCTGTGGCAGCATCGCCCTCTAGTGCCCTCTGCAGAATAACATCGAAGTAAATGAAGAAAGAAAACCATGGCAGCAGTTTTAACCATTATAGCCTTTGAATTACAAAAAATAAAATAAAAAAGACCAAATTTTATTGGCATATTTATATATGACAGCAATTTCCACTGTCAATTTTTTGACAATAAGAGGGCCCTGGGTTTGACTCCACCAGCCAGTCTGAAGTCTCTGTGGAGGCCTGTGTCTATGTCAGCTGTCTCCAGGTAATCCAGCTTCCTCTCACCGTCCAAACACGTGCATGTTAGATTAACTGATGTTTGTAGAAACTGTTCTGAGGTGTGAGTGTGAGGGTGAATGGTTGTCTGGAGGATAGGTTACTGCCTTTAACAGATTTACAACATTACTATATTCAGATCAAACAAACAATTTAATGACAGTAACTATGCTCGCAAACAATGAGATTTCAGATCTTTCACATATTAAATTCCACTTGTTCCAGGAGAGGCCCATTGGTTTCATCTGGATCCTGCCAAGAAAAGCATCTAGATGAAACACTAAGATAGCAGTGATTAACAAATCAATGCAAACTAAATAATTCAATATACATCATCATGCCCTAAAAAAAAGCTAACAGAATTAAACTGCATTCCTGTATTCCTTTAAACCAGAAGTCACAGCATTGATTAGGATTTTCTCCCAGTCTCAGGTTTTTTATTTTACCCTATCATCCAATATTTACCTGTGAGACGCGACTGTAAACCTGAAAATGGGGAGAACTGTAGCGGCGCAGACCCCTCCAGGACAGGAAAAGTATGTAGAGTGATGCCAGGAAGCAATGTACGGTGAACACTATGGTGCTCGCCCTTGCAACATAAGAACCAGCACGCTAGTGAGAAGAAGGCAGAAAGAAAAGAACGATTGTAAGGTTTTCTGTGTATGCTGAACACAAACCCCAAAAGAGATTCCTTACAGGACCTCTTTATTATAAAGAAAGATTCAAACCTAGTTACTGGAATGCAGAATTACCTGTTGGTAAGTGAGTGTGACGGCTTGTGCAGCTCTGATACCGTTGGCCAGCAAAGCTGAGAATCCAAACACGAGAGTAAAGACATTCACACCCATCAGAGCGATGATCTGTTTGTTGTTAAGATAAACTAAGTCAGGCTGATCATAACATAAGTAAAAAAGAAGCCACATAAGAATTTACCAAACTTTTTACCTTCAGTTTATTCGCTTTTCTTTGAACCTCAATTGCAAGACACCCAGCAGCCACATACTGGAACAACAAAAAACAGGTGCAACCTCCTATTTGGCTTTCTCTCTTTTAAAACAGAAATTTTATACTGTGTGCATGTCAGCTGAAGCAGATGTGGACTCACAAATATGCTTGACCATGCTGGTGTTGTCATGGAGACAGCACAGCTGTAGCTCACACATGCGTGAGTGATTGTGGTTAGTATGCAAACTAAGGCACTGAGGATTTGAATCACCTGAGGGGGAATAAAGAATAAAAGATGGGCAGGTTCAAAGCTTCAGGATGTTAATCAATAGTTTGGGTGAGCTTCTTACCCCACTGACTAAAAGTCTAGTATTAACCACAGCCCCGAACCAACGATGAATCCTGGCATTGCTTAGCTCTCCATTATTGGTGACCTCAGTTTGTGGGGATGGTGAGGGTGTATCCTTAAAAAATACTTGGTACAATCCCTCCTCAAACATGTTCTGCCTCATCTGTCAGGGAAAAAGTTAATTTGTATGGATGTTAAATGCTGCACAAATCATTTGATATTTTGCCAAACAAATCATGGTTGATATGAACGCCTTCAGATTCAGATTTTGCATTTAACTTCAGTCTGTGACCTCTTACCTTGCCCAGATGTTGTAAAGCCCTTGTTTATTCATCCACGGGCTTTTATATAAACAGAAAATATCCATCCAACCAGAATAACAGACGTTGAACAGCTTTTCTCATGGCTACAAAGTTACTTCTTGTACCACACAGTAAACTTGTTTGGTCAAAGTTCACTTGAGTTGGATGATAATGAACGGTTAAAGTTCACTGCTGAGGAAGTGATTCAGAGAGCGTGTTAGCCATGAGTAAAGTGCTTATCAGCTTGAAGGCAGGGCTTTCTGTAAGATCAGAGGACTTGGTTCATTTTAGACACAAGAAGAATACTTAGAAACACAACCACAGCCCCAAAAACATCAGGATGCTGTATAAAATCAAAATTAAAAAATAAAAACCCAGAATGCAGTGATTTGTGAAACCCACATTTTATTCACAATAGAAAATAGTAAAAAATCAAATGTTACTGCTGAGACATTTTACTATTTCATGAAAAAATATCTCATTTTTAATTTGATAGCAAGACACTGAAAAAAAAAGGAACTGGTATTAATCAGTTAAAGTAAAGATGGACAGACCCTGCATCTAGAAATTGTGGAACAATTTCAGAATAATATTCCTCAACACTTTGAATATCTCACCATCTACATTACAATCTCTGTGCTTGAGGTTAAAGGCTGAAAACAATTCAGAGTGCCATTCACAAGTGCAGGTTAAAGCTCGATCATTCACAGAAGCCATACGTGATGATGATCCTAAAGCACCGCCATCTTCTCTGGGTCAAAGGCCATTTAAAATGGACTGAGGCAAAGTGGGAGAACTGAGCAAATCAAAAATTGAAATTCTTTTTGAAAACCAAACATCCTCCTAACTAAAGAGGAGAGGAAGCATCCAGCTTTTTGAGAGCTCAGCTCAAAAGCTTGCATTTCTAATGGTATGGAGATGCATTAGTGACAGTGACTTTGGCAGCTTGCGCATCTAGAGAGGCACCATCAAGGTATATACATGTTTCAGACCGTTACAAATGATCCTTTTTCAGGGATCGCCTTGCATAATTCAGCTAGAGCGCATACTGCTCTATCTATTACGACAGCATAGCAAGTCTGGCTGTTGAACTGGCCTGGCTGCAGTCTAGACCTTTCACCAGTTGAAAACATTTGGCACATCATGAAATGAAAAATACAACAAATGAGACCCAAAATTGATGAGCAGCTAGAATCCCATATCAGATAAGAATGAGAAAATAATTATCTCATAAAGACTTGGTATTCAATTCAAAGTTTAGGGCAAAGAGAAGAGGGAACAGAGAGGCGAGACAAAAGACACTGTATGAGACAAAGAGCCTTAGTTTAATCATTTTTAATGATTGAATGCATAGTGGTGTATAAACATGAAGGGAGTGAAAAGAAATGCTCAGAGCTCAATGTGATGTCCCCCAGCAGCCGAAACCTATTGCAAAATAACCAAGAGATGGATAGTTCAGGGTCATCTGATCCAGCTCTCACTATAAGCTTTGTCAAAAAGGAAAGTTCTAAGCCTAATCTTAAAAGTAGAGAGTCTGTCTGTCTCCCAAATCCAAACTGGGAATAAAGGGGCCAGAAAGCTGTAGGCTCCGCCTCCAATTTTACTCCCTCCCAGACTACTTTTGAAAACTCTAAGAACCACAAGGAAGCCTACAGCCTGCGAGTGAAGTGCTCTGTTAGGATAATAAGGTAGATATATTACATAGAGTGTTAATAAATATAGATTAATCATAGTTCAAATTGAAGTAATAATGATGATGGTTTAGAGGAAAATACTGAAAATACAGAAGTTAAATCAAAGATCAATCAGAGAGGAAGTGTCTAAGTAAAGAAGTTATTAGAGATTCTTTACCTAATGACACATCTGTGGGAACATATTTTTTTAATCAAACAAATAATTTGTGCTATTACTGCCAATGTGAAATCTACATGTATCCTTAGCTAGCAGTTTCAAATTTCCTTTAGTGTTGCCTGCTTTGGCCCCTAGAATACAGTCAGCTATGGTCACTGGAGTATAGCTACGCATGTGTGCATGACCCTCAAAAAAGTCCCGGCTGAACCTAATGGACACGGTTACCAACAATCATTGAGCCATTACAAATAACAAAAGATACAAAGATTTTTCTTTTCATTCAAACACAAAAATATCCTAAAATAACTCCACAAAAATAAAGTACATGCATAGAAAGACAATGACTGGATTGAAAATAGTCAAAAAAATCTCTTTTTATTACAAGAAAAAACCTAAATCTTATATTCTGTGTCAAACAATATAGCGATCATGCATAGATACATATTATGGAAAAATATTACATATATTAAAACCTATAAATCCAGTACATGAGACCATAAAAGTATATTAATCATTATATTAATTAGCTTAGAAACCCTAATAAAAAAAAAATAAAAATGTATCACACTTGATCAGGACAACAGGACAACAGCAATTCCTCATTTAATCCTCCAGGAGGTGCTGTTTGCAAATTTCCAGTAGACTTCCCCTCAGAGAAGCTTCGGCTCTTTATCGCCACCTTTTATTAATGTTCAACCATTTCATCGAACTGAGTGAATCTGCCTCAGAGCCTTTACCTTCACGGTCAAACACCAGGAGCGAGTCATAAGGAGGAGCTGTGGGTTCACTGTCTGCAGCACATGTATTCTAAGAGGGGACAGCCACAGGCACATATAAGACTCTGAAAATATTACAGTCATATAAACTGTAAATCTTTACATATATACCAAAGGTTTGCTATTAAATGCATGTACTGGCTTTTGCATTGGCTTGTATTTGTAGGCGGTAGTTTGGGCAGCTCTGTGCAGCAGGAAGAACATCAGTGCAGAAGACTTCAGGACGGTTATCAAGCCCTCTGTGGAGCTGGCTCAGGTCATAGACCTATAACACAAGATGAACATATGTACAAAACAGGGAAGTATGGTGGCCCTGATAGGTCAAACACACCAGCACATATAAAAATGCTGCAACACACAAAACACGAAGGAAGTTGAATAAAACAAATCTCACCAAAAAAACAAGGGAAGTTGTTTTTGAAGGAGACATTAATGTGAGTGAAGCACTGAGGAAGTGGCAGAAACCAAAACATGTGAAGGATTGCATTTGTAGTGCGTTTGACCTTTCAGGGCCACCGTAGAAAAAGCCTCAGAAAAATGTACCCCCTACTTTAGTGTGACTGCGGCATCAACTTTCTCAGGCAGTGATACTGCAATTTTATTACATCATCAGTATTTCCCCCTAAGTCTTCTATTTTATTCGTTAGTTTCATTAGTAATACATTATCCAGTGTTGCATCACCAACACAGAATCTCTCATTCCAGGTCGGCTTATTCTCCTTCTGCCCACCAGGATTCCTCAATCAGCCGTCCAACTCTGCAAGTGATCCAATCACTCAATACTTTCTAAGCTCTATCTCCCATTTGCTTTTCTCTCAATCATTAGCAAACCATTCTCCTAACCACCAGAATTATGTTTGCTTTAACCTGTTTACATCTATTAAAAACTGCAAAACTGAGCATAGTCAAAAGGTGTGTTTTATCCTCTCATGTGAGTCTCTCTTGTGAGTATTTTTTCCCTGTCCAACGGCATATGCACATACAAAATCCCCGATCGCCGATCAACAGTAAAAACACCCTCAGGGGGCTGATCTGCTCCTGGTCCAGTGATCTTGTAAGTTATGGCCACCTTTTTTTCTTTGTTGGACTTCAGCTAATCCCAAAAATAAAAATGTCATTTGAGCAGAGGTGAATACAACACAATATCACTTGGTTTATATAACCCCAATTCCAAAAGAGTGAAGAAGACACTGCATAAAATGTAAAAAAAATAAACCGAATGCAATGATTTGAAAGTCTAATAAAGCCATTTTACAAATTTGTTCCTTATCCCTGCATCCAAAGGACAAGGCTGAAAATCAACATGGGATGCACTTGTCTTCAGGCCCTCAGGCAGGACTGCATTAAAAATAGACATGATTCTGTCATTGAAATTACTGCATGGGCAAAGAAATCACTGTCTGTGAACACAGATAAATGCAGGTTAAAGCTCTATCATGCAAAAAAGAAGCCATATGTGAACATGATCCAGAAATATAGCTAGCACCTCCAGAAAAGCAGGACAATGTGGCACTGCATGCTGGAGCTGTTACAACAGCATGACTTCATAGTCGACTGAACTAGCCTTCTTGCAATCCAGATGTTTCACTAACTGAAAGCTTTTGGCCCATCGGGATCAAAAAATAAGACCCAGGAGTGTTGAGCAACAAGAATCCTGCATCAGACAAAATCAGGAAACATTCTTCTCCCAAAAGTACTGAAGCTGGTTTCCTAAGTTCTAAGAATTGTTGTTAAAACAAGCGAAGGTGATATGCAGTGGTAACAAGAGCATTTCCCAAATTTGTCTTCCTGTCATCAATTGTAAAATGATCGTGATTGATATTTGATATGTTTCTATGTTCTATTGTAAATAAAATACGTGTTTATGAGATTTGAAAATCATTGCATTTACATTTTACGCAGCATCCAACTTCTGTGGGATTAGGGTTGCATGGCAGCAGTTACCTTCACCAGATTTTTGGGGTAAGGATCCCTGACATTTTCTGAAAAGCTAATTGGTGGAATAACCCACTCCCTCTTCATCCGTTTCAAGCTGCCAGACACAAATGGAAACTCCACAATGGGAAGCTGCAGGGGGAGGGTGTAAGACCTTTTGAATCAGGACATCCTGTCGCACCAGATATAGTATTTAATCAATGAAATGTGACGATGCAAATAATTCTAAAATTACCTCAAGATCTACGTTCTTGGAGACTTTATTTGGGCAGCTTTTTCTATTTTTCAGGCACTGTGGTTGGATCCCTGCAGGAGCAGCTTGAAATGCCAAGCACTGAGGAAGCAACAATAGACATTATCCTAGTAATGCTAAGCTTACAATATACGTGTAGATGTGTCATAGTGAAGTGTTAAAAAACAAACTACAATCTGAAAACAATGTAAGTTATAATATAAAACAAACACATCCTGTTTTTCCTGACTTTCATTCATCTTCTCTTCAGAGCATGCCTCCACCTCTCCAGGCTCTCTCCTACCTGCTCCCCACTCTCATTACACATCACAGCGCTCTCCACAAACACTTTATCCCATGAACACTTCTGCCTTAACTGTTAAACTGACTTCATCTGTCAGCTTGTCCATCACTACTGTGAACGGGCTCAGAGTTGAGCCCTGATAAATCCCACCCCCACCTTGAACCTATCTGTATCTCCAGTTGTCGTTCTGCACCACCCTCACATACTTCTCTGCCACTTCTGACTCCCTCATACAATACCACAGTTTCTCTGTTTGGCATCCTGTTACATATTTTCTCTAGATCCACATAGACACAGTGCAACTCTTTGAGACCTTCTCTATACTTCGTCATCAGCACATTCCAGCTGTAGCGCTTCTACTTTCTCTCTTCTCTTTACTTGTTAGCATATTTTTATCTCCATCCTTACCGTAACTAGCTCCATGGTCTTTTTCTCCTTCTCTAGTGTCCAGGTTCACATACAGTTCACTGTAAGCCTTTTACTTTGCTTTTTGTTGTACTCCTAGCCTCCGAGTAGTCATGTCTACTTTTTTTGTTTTCCAATTTATCTCTCCTCACCATTCAACCGTTTATGTGGTGCTGAATGTTCTACAATAGCTTTAGCTTGACTAAGCCAAGGCCTGTTAACTTCTCATTAGTGATCATGGTTGACTCCGACTGGTAGATTCGTTCAAGGCATGTTTGGAGGAGTACCAACTGTACCAACTGTCAAGCATGGTAGTGCTCAGGTGTTTTGCTGTCGCTCGTACTCGTAATTAAAAAAAAAAGTGTAGGAGGGCTAACTCCAAATGCTCAAACTTCACCCTAAATCAACAGCCATACAGTTGAAACTGGGAGACAGTAGTGTTTCAACAGGACAATGATCCCAAACATCAAAACTGGTTTTGGAACAGGCAGACTGACATTAAGCTTCTACAATGGCCTTTCCAAATCCCTGAACTCAACCCTACTTAAAATTTGTTAACCACTCCTAAATATCAGGATGGTGTCAGGAAAACACACAATTTAAATGAACAATTGATTCCCCCAAGAAGAGTGGTCACGTATCCAGACATAATTATTTCAGAAACTTGTTCATGGATCAAAAGTATCTGCTCAAGGTTAAGGATATTTAAACAAATACTAGTGAGCTTCTGTGTATCATTTCAAACCTGAGTGGTTTAGAAAGCAAGCAAACAAAATAAATCAAACCTTGTAAAGACAATACTTCCAATAATGCTACTAAATAAACAGTCCTGCAAAAAAGTATTTACCCTCTTTCTGATGTCTTTTTGTTCATATTTGTCTCAGTTAAATGTTTCAGAACATCAAACAAATGTAAATATTAAACAAATATATCTAAGGAAAGACAAAACGCTATTTTGTTCAGTGATGCGAAACATGTAGGTTTGACAAATATGCAAAAAACTAAGAAATTTTAAAAGCGAAAAGATTGGATATAAAGATGCACATATTATACAAATATAAATAAAAACCTAAGTGTTAAGGGCAATGAGGTCATTTGAGACATCTCGAAAAGCAGAGAGAGAAACAAAAAACACTCACGTGGATTTGATACAGCAAAAAGAGCACCCACAAGACCCTGGTGTCCCCCATGATTTCAAGTATAGAAGCCCTACAGTCCAATGTCAGATTGCCAAGTTTACTTATGTTTACTAATGGGTCTTTTAGTGTTTTTCCTCTTTAAACATCCTCCATCAGTGCAGTAACTTTCCTAGCAACTGTCTGTGGCTGCCTTCTTTAACTGCCACCGGCTACAGTATTTGTGTTTAGCGTTTCACTTTCTTCACACGCCGAGTAGCTGATTTCCACAGGAAAGAGCTAAACTGGAATTAAGAATACGTCAGACCTGCAGGTGAGGGTGTTTACACATGTGGGTTTCCAACTTCACATTTCAAAAAAGGCTTGAGGGTTTTTTTTAAGTGGAATTTGTTCATATTCTCTACAATTGTGAGAGACCAGCAGAAAAATGTGAGCCACTTGCAGCATCAATTAAAATAACTTCACTTATGTTTGTACGACCATCAGGCTGATTACAGACTAACTTTTTTCCTCTAATATGTCACACACATGTTTAGAAAACACGTTTGAGAAGAGACAGGCTCCATGACAAGCAGAGTTTATTTTGAAAACTCCCGACCCCACTTATCTACTTTCCAGGTTTAGGCAAAAGGACATTAAAACTATGCTTTACAATATTTAAATGTCCCCTTGTAACTTCTTTTAATCCAAATGTTTCTGACAGAAAAAAAATACAATCTGTTCAATGTAATATTAGTTTAATTTTGTAAATGGAATGGAAACATAAAAACACGATTACAATAAACATTTAAACTTCATTAAAAGATACTTCACAGCTTACACAAACAGGGACATGGAAAAAAAAAAAGACTAAATGGAAAAACAAAAGCACAATAAGAAAATCAATAGAAGTGAGAGGTACCATTATTTCACATCAAAAATACACTGAAGGACTTTTTCCAAACAAAAACTGTATTTGTGACTCATTAAATGCTGCAACTATGAATTGGTAACTGAACTTTTCCTAAGAACCAGACAAATTGGAGTGCCGATGTTTCTGTAGAAAGCATATGGATGGCCACCCTCTATTCCAAAGACATTGAGCAGGCTTAGCATGTGTGGGCCAACTGATTGTCAGATATGCGGAAAAGTACGAGCTGCAGTGTGTTTATATTTTTGGTCAGTCAGGACTGTGCCGCGTTTCGTTGTAGTTCTACAGTTTGATCCGGAGGTATTTTGACCTGCATCGGTTCACAATGTGTTGTGAACTAAACTGAACGGTTCCAGACCGATGATTATTTTTGCATTTGTCTGTTCAGGCTAACTGTAAGTAAACACTGAAAATCAATCAGTCTATATAGCAAGCTGTAACTGTGACAACCTTTAGAAAATGTTAACTGACTGTCATGGTCAAAAGAATTCACAATAAAACTGTATTATTAACATAGATACAGAATATTTACAAAAAAATGTTATCAGTACAATTCTCCAAGAATCGTTGACTTTATTATTTTTCTGTTTTTTTAGACAAATTAATTGCACTAGTTGTAAGAGTGTAGATAGGCATTGTTTGTAACCAAAACTGTATAAAAAGTATATAAAACAATAAACTACAAGACTATTTATTGTATTATCATATCTGTATAGTTAATATGATCTCAATAGTTCATTTTCTAAAGATCAAGGGTCTCGTTAATACTTACTGTTACAGTCCTAATCTGAATAGCCCAATTCTCGTAATTGTTTCTCTCTGTCCATTAGTTGTGGTGAGATCTAGCCAGATCATAGTTCAGATACACCACAGTAACTGTGATATCATCTCTGTACATTCGCGCTAGATCCTCCGGCAAAGCAAGCATTGACGCCAGCCTCTCCTGGGATAGTTCTCCATAGTCCCCAGTGCCGAGAGCATGTCTGATGAGGTGTGTGGCAGCGTTTGTGTCTAGAGCCGGGGAGGCACGGGCCTGGCGTTTCAGCAAGAGTTCATGCATCTGACCCAACTTCAGCTTTCTCTCAGACTGAGAAACTGGAGCCTGGAAGAAAAAAAACAAAAAGGTCAGTTAGAAGCCTTTTTGTTTTTTCAGGTCAAGATTGCAGGATAAAGTCTAAATAAAGTGCTGTATCTAAAAGTTACATGTTGTGAAGTAGTTACTCCATACAAACCTGTAGGTGAATTCCACTCAGGTGCTCTCCAATGAGCCGTACTGCCTCCTCACTCCCTAGTTCATCCCATAAGCCGTCAGTACCGAGGATCAGGAAGCGGTCCTGGGGTCTCAGTTTATGATAAGTGATCTCAGGTGACACGTCCAGGTACGGCGGTGTTAGATAGTTAGGCGGAGTGTACTGATACAGATTAAGAGAGTCAAGGTCTACTCCAGATTCCAGGCTGGCTAAAATACTTTGCTGCAGCTCATGGCTCCATTTAAATCTCACATCACCAAACGCACGGAGTGGCATTAGGACCTGACAGAAAGATAAAGAATTGAACCAATGACTCATTCTCTAAACCGAATGGCAAACAAATTTGTGATCTGTTGCATGTGGCGACAAAAACCCACCCCTAGCAGCCTGTCATCTGTAACCACTGTGTCGCTCTCTGAAGGTGGATGTTGGGCTTTGATGCGTTCCACCTCAGCCTGGTTCTGTGAGTTATGGTCTTGAGAAAGGGGTAAAGCGCTCCATGAGCCATCTTCATTTTGCACCCCTAGTACTGCTCGACAGTCACCGGTGTTCGCCACGTGGATGCCATCCATGCCAACATGGGCCACACAAGCAGTGCACCCGGCAAATGCAACCTGGACAGATAATGCATGTGTATCAACCTTGTATGAACTTAAAACACACTAGAGACCGAAGACTGCTGTATCTTATTACCTGAATGGCTGTACTTCTCATTAGGTCATTGGATAGAGGAACTTGAGCCTCCAGAGAGATGTCAGCATCAAGCCGTTTGAAAGCATAATCCAGAGCATCCTGAGGACTAAAAAAAGAAAACAGGCTTTTTGTTTTGTGCTATTCTGCATACACAGATAACTGACAAGTTAAGACATAAATCAACACGTATTAGTAAAGTGTTTGATGCTGAAACGGCTTCAGTGTGTCCTGTTATTGATTTTAAATTTTCTGTAAGGCTACTACAGGGATGATGTCATTCTTTAAAAATATTTTCCATATATAGTGGTTAGATGTTGGTACTTAAGAGCACTACAGTCACCTCAGTCTAAAATTTCCTACTAGTATTCAGTAGTAGAATATGATTTAGATCATTTTCATACTCATCTGTCCATTGTGTGACCCCTATTGCCCTTTAGATGTGTGCACTCTCATCATAAAAGAGACCACTCACATTAATATAAAAGTGTTTCATGTTACAGTGAAGGTGTTCACTGAGACGTGGAATCAAATCATGCCAGCAAAATAACTTTCAAAGCATAACAGAGCCAACAAATCCAATCACTGCAGAAAATTCATGTTTTTCCTTTCACTTTGTGTTATGTATTTTAAAGGCTGTTTGAAAGCAAAAAATAGCATAAAAATTAAAAAGTAATCGAGGGAAATGACAAAACTAAAAAA